CAAAATGAGAGAAAACATCTACTATTATCATTATATTGTTATTTAATTGGCAATCAATTAATTTTTCATTGGGTAATTGTTTGATAACTTTGTGCATTTAGTATTGCAGAGAAAAAAATGGCCCAAGGAAGACTTAGAAAACCTAAACTCTAACAAACAATACAAAAAAATTACACTAAAAATTAGAGACTGTATTTTAAAGAGTGTAGTATTTCTGCTATATGTTATATCTCCTAATTCTACTTTTTTCCTCTCATTTCCAGTCTTTGTCATGTTCTTGTTTTGTGTCATTATCACAGCACCAGCCACTCTGCTGTGTTGGTCCATACCTTATCCACATGCCCCAGCCTCATGTAATTTATCATCAATAGCCAAATATCAGAATCCTTCTATGGCAGACAAGGATTCACAATTAACCTCAAGACACCTCCTCAGATTATCTCTTGTACTATGTAGGTTTAAAACTTAGCAAACCTCTTTCCACAAACTGATGGCTGAAAGGTACAGATAAGCAATTAATATTCAATGTGGTGAGTCACATGATAGAGAGGTAAGCTTGAGGAATAATAGAAAATAAAAAGACAAATAACCTTAACTTGAAGAAAGTCTGTAACTGAAGACTAATGAGGCTATTTCTTCTCTCATTCTCATTTTATATTATCATTATTTTATTTTTTCTTTGTGTTTAGGGGAATTCTTTCCATTTGTACAGTGAATTATGACTCATATTACTGTATTTTGGCTTAGTTGTTGGTTAACAATCTATTCTAGTGAACAAACCACCTTAAATTAGAGATTTTTTAAAACTATCCTTTGTCCTTACTTCTAGCTCAATGAACAGCTTCTGACAACAACTCTATTCTATGTATTACTATTAATGAGCAAATAATTCTGATTCATCTTAACACTGAATTTTAAGATTGACTTAGGTTTGCTAGTTTATCTGACATATGCTATTATGCTTTTCTGAATAAAATGCATACAATATTCAATTATGCCTCGTAGAAAACAGTGTGCATGGTGGCGTAGCAGCTATTACATGTGTATCTTTGGAAGAGGATCAGATATGTCTTATTAATTGTATATTTGTCTCACTGTGCAATTTCCTTTATTGCTACCAACCTTAGCACTTCCTACATACTTGGATATATATGAGTTGGGAGCTAGTGGCTAACAACTGTAATCTTAGCTACTCAGAATGCTGAGGATCATGGTTGGAAGCCAGCCTGGGAAGTAAAGTCCCTGAGACTTTTATCTACAAATAACTACCAAAAAGCTAGAAGTGGAGATGTAGCTCAAGCCTTGAACAAAAATGCTCAGGGATAGTGCCCAGGCCCCAAGTTCAAGCCCTAGAACTGGCACTAGAAAAAAAAGTAAATAAAAAACTACACACATGCATGTGTGTACACATATATATGTATATATATTTCATATATTACTGTATCATCATATAGTACTGTATCATCCCTCTGTGAATATAAAATACCTTGTGCCTGCTTTATGATACATAGTAGTGACTGTGCTTTATCAGAGCTGTTTTTAATGTTTTCTTTACAGATGATGATTGAGAAGCTAATAAAAAAATGATGCCATATACCACACAAGTAACAGAACTTCACACTTCTCTGGGTTTTGATTTTATCTTTTTTTTTCTTTTTATTAATGCATTTGCTGGAAGTCTAATTTTGTCCAGATGACTGCAGAACCTGGAAAAGCTGTCACTGCTATTGATGTATAACATACTGCTATTGTTGGTCTTTTTATATAAATTTATTTGCAAATATATAATTTGAATTTTTGGAAACTTTAGCTGTGCTGTCAACTTTGAAAAAAGTATCCCAGTATACCATGTTGAGTTGGAATTGTACAGAAATTAATAGCCATATTGATCTAGAAATGCTGAACTTAATTTTTTTTCATTTGTACAGGAGTAAAGGCACTGTATTAAATATGTAAAGTCTTATGGACATGTGATTGATTATAGAAACTAATATTTTCCAAATAAAAATATACACATATAAGTATGTATACACATATGTATATATCTATAAATATATTTTCATATATTATTTTATTTTCTATAAATAACAATAACAAATATCTGTATGTAATATTAACAAATACAGCACCAGAATCATTGGTAGTTAGAAATGCAAGTTAAAGAAAAAGTTAAATCTATTGTCTTCAAATTTTGTCTATCAAGAAAACAAGTAAAAGCATAGTAGGCATTCTACAGAAGATTATTTCTGTAGGATATTCAATGAAATAATATAATCTATTAACTAAGATTTCCTTTTTCATGAGAATTACACATTATGAAGCACAAAAATATAACTAAACATGCCAAGAAAAGAACATAATTCCTCACTGACTGATTTTAATTTGTTTTGTCATGTTGATTTTATTGTGATTTTACTAAAAACAACTGGAATAAGAACTTATATTTTAGGTTTTAGAAAACTGAGCCCAAAGAATAAGGAACTAGAATTTTGCTATTGGTATATGGACAGGATATGACCTAATCATTATTTTCAGTAAGAAATCCACCAGATATTATTGGTTCATGCCTGTAATCCTAGCTACTCAGGAAGCTGAGATTTGAGAACCCTTACTTGAAACTAGCCCAGGAAGGAAAATATGTGAGACCTTTATCACCAATTAACACCAGAAAACTGGAAGTGGAGGTATGGCTCAGAGTGGTAGAGCACTAGCCTTGTGCAAAAATCTCAGTGATAGCACCCAGGCCCTTGAATTCCAGATCCATGACCAACAACCCCCAAAAAGAACAACAGTCAATAGACACATGAAGAAATCTTCAACATGAAAGAAATGCAAATCAAAACAACAATGAGATTCCATTTCATTCCAGTTAGAATGGCCATTATTAGGAGAACTAATAACAGATGCTGTCAGGGATGGGGCCAACTACACTGTTGGTGGGAATGTAAACATGTTCAATCACTCTGGAAAACAGTATGGAGGTTCCTCAAAACAATAAACATAGAACTCCCTATGATCCAGCAATCCTACTACTGGGCATTTACCCAAATCACTACAAACAGCCTGAACTAAAGCCATCAGCACAACCAAGTACACTGCATCATTATTTATCATACCTAAGATATGGAATCAACCCATGAATGAATCAAGAAAATGTGCTATACAGTGAAATTCTGTACTTCAATCAGAATGAATGCCCCATTTGTAAGGAAATGGAAAGACGAAAAAATCATATTAATCAAAGCCAGACCCAAAGAAACATAGTCCACTTGGTCAAAGAGGACAACCATCCCCAATATAGGATTATGGGCCTTTGGTCAAGAGAATACAAGTAGCTGCACTCCCCTGCTAGAACTTCCAAACAAGCTCTCAAGAATCTCATGGACTTTCCTGCCTGGGCTGGCTTTGAACCTCGATCCTCAGATCTCAGCCTCCTGAGTAGCTAGGAGGTGTGTACCACTGCCACACAGCATTAAGATGTTTAATAATACATAATTTGTCTATTTATTTTACAATACTTCAAATATGTACAAGTAAGTTTATATTTTATATAGTAATATTCTCAAAATAATTAGACTAAAGATTATTAGACTAAAGAATATTTCCTTCACAAGTAAATATTTCCAATGCTACTCCTGGATAATGAAATCAGGTTTCAAATGGATGGGAATACATTTATTTCAATAGATAATAAACATTTTTATACTGTATGTTTTTTTTAATAGACAATGTGAAAAAGAAAAAAGGTATTCAAATTTCCCCAAATTTTGTGTGATCTGAGTTTATAATTTTACGCTTATAACTTTGACAGCTCTACTGTGGCTTCCCATTCATTTTGTCAGTTCTATTTCACCATTGTCTAACAATCTTAAAAATTCAGATTAAATCTTGTAATAATCTTTTTAATCAAATTTACATATCTGGCTTTTCTTTACTCAGATTAATGTGACACTGACATATTTATATCACTGATATAAATTAAAATCAATTTTAAGTCAATTAGTTGGCTAAAATGTGAAAACTTTTTGTAAAGTAAAATGATAATGTTAAATAAATAAATATTATAATCCCAGAGAGACAACTTGTAAGTATATGCAATATTTATGTGAACAAAAATAAGACATGAAATAACTCCTCAAATGAACCAAGATTTTTAATTTGTAATTATTTCTAAGCAAAAAAAATACTGTAAAGATAAAAAAACTGCTTGTATTTTATATTTTTAGTTTATATATAGGCTCAGTCCAAATAAACAGCAGTCTGGAGGGTATGAGGAGGCCATATGCACTTGGAATTATTGAAATGGTAAAAAGAGACCTTTTATTTTTTGGCTTTTTATTGGAATAAAAATTATCCGTGGCTTTGTGTTTAAAATCAATTAACACTTAAACTAACAGGAAACAATTCTTGTGAGATGTTTTAGAAAGAATAGGAAACTTATTCACACTTAAAGGCCCTCAAAGGTAATTTTCCAACTTAAAAAGGTTTTGTTACGGAGTGCGCATTGGCTTGAACCTCTTTCATTGTTCCTGCCCCTAAATTCCCATCACTGCTGATGATTAAAGTTCTACCCACTGGCCAGGTCCCTACAATTATCCCATTGTGATGGCGCTCCATCGAGGCGCCCTGCTATGGCCAGACATCAAGTCATTAGAGAGCGGCCAGGGATGATGAAGAAGGTTATTTTAATTCCCTTTTCAACCCTTCTCAGGAGTGGCTCTTTAGTTCACAGAGCTATGGGTACTTGCTTTCAAACTAACAAGCAATATTATAAATGGAGGCTTCATTATCATGATTGCAGACAATCTAAGGCACTTGAAGGCCAAGGATTCACAGTCTGTAGTATGTGCTGTTGTGTATCTATCAGCTAAAAATATATTGACAGTACAAACAGTAAAAGGAGGAAAACGCAAGGGCAGAGTGGAGTGGAGGAAGGATAGTGAACAATAGAGAAGGGAATTCAGCCCTAGCCATTTTGTTGGTAAATCAAATACTTTTACCCATTTTCTTGCTGCTCCGCTGTGTAATGTTCCAGCTCTGTACCCGGAAGGGGCTGGACTGGGGGAGGAGGTAGAGGAACATTGGCCCAGGTTGATCCATTGTTCTTCTGTGGTTTCGAAGAGTTTTTATTTTTCTTCTTTTTTCCACCTTTTCCACCTGAAAGTATAATGCATGTGTTCAAGGTTGCTGAATATAACAAGAAACAGAGACTATCAGATGGAAAGCTATACCCTATGTTTTCATAATGGTAGAGATGCTTAAAGAAAAAGCATAACAAGGAAATAATATAATCTGAAAAACAGGATTCAAATCAGTCAAAATGATAGTTTCTTTCCTAATGCATTAACTACAGAGAGCTGAATATCAAAAGAATATTTATTGATTTATTCATCTATGCTGCTTCCTTTTTCATTGTTAAGTGAAATAATGGTCCACAACAATTTCTTAAAATGTCAGATTTTAGTGCATGTATAATGCTTTTTTGCATCATCTCTCTCAGTGGAAAATTCTAGGATCCAGGTTAAAGTTTTCCATTAGAATTTACTCAATTAAAAGAAAATTACTCAACCTAATTAATCCAAGAAAATAACATTTATTCCCTTACAAATCATTCATAAAAATCAATTGGCTACATTCCAGACAATAGTTGTTAATGAAAGGATCAGTTTGTATATAGTAAAAATAGTTCTCATCTATTTTAAATAACAGCTTGTAAAATTCCAAAGAGATTAAAAAGAGTACTTATTTCCAGTATTATTTATAAAACACATAAAAACACGCACAAATTTGAAAAAAGTCAGTAGTACATAATCATGTCTAAGACTCCACATAGAGCTCCCCTATGACCCAGCAATCCCACTTTTGGGCATTTACCCAAATGTTTACAAACAAGACCACACTAAAGATACCAGCACAACTATGTTTATTGCAGCATTATTTACTATAGCTAAGATATGGAACCAACCCAGATGCCCCTCAGTAGATGAATGGATCAAGAAAATGTGGTATAGATACACAATGGAATTCTATGCCTCCATCAGAAAGAATGACATTGCCCCATTTGTTAGGAAATGGAAAGACTTGGAAAAAATCATATTAAGTGAAGTAAGCCAAGCCCAAAGAAACATAGGTCCCATGGTTTCCCTTATTTGCAGTATCTAGTATATGTATGAGTCAAGCAGAAAAGGTCAGATAAGGTGATGTAGGAAAATGAACCCTAAGATATGTATTTAAATGTTTTTTTTTCTTTCATGCATTTGTTTCTAACGCATTTATAAGATTATTTCTTAGTTGCTTTGTATGTCCCTCCCCCACAGTATAACCCCTGCTTTCACTGTATTTGATGTCAGTATAATTTGTGGAGGGGAAGGGGAAAAACAAGTCATTTAAATAAGGATACAGGTGGACCTGTTGCAACAATGAGAAGTACAAGCTGTCATGTCGAAAACGAACTTTACAACTTTGGTGGAGGGGGCGGCGGAAGGCTGGGAAGGGATGGGAAGGGGAAACAAAGGAGGAGGTTACAATGCTTGATAAGAAATGTACTCATTATCTTGCCCATGTAATTGTAACCCCTCTGTACAGTATTTTCACAATAAAAAATAAATAAAATAAAAAAATCTAAAAAAAAACTAAAAGATTATTTTCATAATGCCTGCTTTTTATTCTTCCAAAATTAAGAAAATGAAACTTGTTTACAAAGCACATGGGCCACATGTGGATTCAAGAATGAATGCTTCTTTAACAGAATGTAATTGGGTGTATCTGGGATATAAGTAACTTCCATTATTCTCACCTCAGTCTATAGATATTTATGTAAGACGTGCTATTGACCTATTGTGCTTCATCTTTCTGGGACTAAAAGTTATGAATATAAAACATTTATAGTATGTTTATCTAGTCATAGGAAGTCTACTCATTTTCCTTCTTACCATTTACTTCTGAATCAGGTACTTTATTTAATAGTAATTCATTCCCACTCATGGTATCAGATGTTTTCCATATAGCATGTACACCTACACACATTTCTAACCCCTGCAAACAAAGTGCTTTACCCATTTGACATCACTTCTTATCATTGTTAGAATTAAAGATATTTTGAGCAAATAAAGTAGATATCTTCTTGTGAGCTAATAAGAATTTGATTTCTGTTTTGGGAACTTATTTGATAAGTTACCCAATGGACACCACATTATTTACTACTACTACTACTACTACTACTATTACTACTCCTACTACTGCTGCTGCTGCTGCTGCTGCTACTACTACTACTATGAATAGTTGAGTTACCTTAAGGATCATAAGAGATGAAGCACATAAAACTCTCAAAAAGTCCAGATTATATCTATGGCCAAGCTTCATGATCATCAGACAAATATGATTTCAAAAGCCAAGCAGCATCAGGCTTACTTATTAGCAATTTGATAAGACAAAGTGCACAATAAAGGTCAGTTAATACTTCTCTCCTTCCTCTATCTTAAAGAAAACCCAGCTTCTAACCCACTAGTGATTTCTCTGCTCCAACTTCTTCAAGCCCAGAGAGTATTACAGAAACAGTGCACTATATAATAAATGAATCTTAAATTTTTGTTTAACTAAAAAAAAATAATAAATCCATAGGCAAGTCTCACAGACAAAATCCTTTCTCAGAATATCAGAACTATGTTTTAATTATTGTGTAAAGAATAGCTTGAGGTCTTTGTTTTCAGTTTCCCATGAGCTGTGTCTCATTTATAGTTCTTGTCTTTAAGTGCATATGAGTCTTTTCACTTTGAGTAGCACTTTTGGAAACATCTGATCAGCTTTGGAACTGAGTGACTTAAACAGAAAAGGTGCCACGCCACCCTTTTCCTGATGAAACCACTGAAGTCCTTTCTGCGTGGTACATGATTCACACTCTCACAGTAAGAGAAAAATCACAATTTATTATGCAACCACATTAACAGAAACTATTTGCCAGTGCCATTTGGCTCACTCCTGTGATCCTCACTAGGCAGGAGGCTGAGATCTGAGGATCACAGTTCCAAGCCCGCCCAGGCAGGAAACTCCATAAGACTATTATTTGTAATAAACTACTCAAAAAAACTGGTGGTGTGGCTCAACTAATAGGGTGCTCCTACTGAGCAAAAAGAAGCTCAGGAACAGCACCCAGGCCCAGAGTTCTAGTCCCAGGACAGGTAAAGAAAAAAAGAAAAGAACAAGGAGGAAACAAACAAACAAACAAAAAACTACTATATGCAGAGCTCCGAACTCTCCTTGAGTCTTTTGTTGAAGTCCTTCTTTAAGGACATATATTCATTACCTACTGCTCTAGATTTAAAAATGTGGCCTGGAAACAAAATGCACACAGAATTTTCCAAGGGTTTTTAAAGCAGTATCCATTTCCCCCTATTTTTTTAAATGCCTATTGTCTCATTTGAACGGTCTGGTTAGAAGTGTTTGCAAACCCATGTTCTCTTAGCAATGAGCTAAGTGATAGAACCTTAGCATAGTGGTGGTTATATGACATAACCTAAAGTAGATCAGTTCTCCTTTGGGTCTGAATCTTTAGGAATGCTACAGCCTACTGCAATTACTGTAGACAAAGAATGCTCTGTGATTTTAATGGGAGAAATGCCTTCACAGAGATTAAGACAGCATAGTTTCATGCCTTGCAAGCACATCTGATCCCTGTCTCTTCAACTCAAAATGTAAATATTTTGATTTTCCAGACATTATTTCTGCAGAAAGAAATTATGAAAACATCTCATTTTAAGATGAAATGTATAGGGACTGAGGACATTGCTCTGGGATAGAGGACTTGCCTAACATGCATGAGATCCTCAGTTTAACCAGAGCTTTATCACTGCACAAACAAATTAATGAACATATGGTTTATTTTTTAAAAGATATACTAAAATACTTAGTTATTGTTAAACATATATGTATACATACACATGTGTTTGATAATAATTTCAGGAAATATTTTCAAACTTCTTGAGATTCAGTTTTAAAAATTGTTTTTTAAACAGAAATTCTCAATATTTATGCACTGAATAAATTGTAAGTGTTTCAAAGAGGGTAAAAAGTTCACTCAAATAACTCAAAATGTCCAGTTTTATTTATTACTGTGATTATTTTAAATTGGTTACATTACTGTGCACACATTAAGGAAATCCTATAGTATGTTACCATTAGCTAGCCTTTGGGAAGTTTGGTCTTGAATTTGAGACTTAGAAAACAAACCTATAGATATATGAACAGTAAAATGAAATATTAAGCTCAATTGGAGTATATACTCAATATTAAACTAAAAAAGGATAATCATTTCACTCAGCTATTGAAAAATGCTTTCTATCTCCAATTTAAGTAATTTTGTATTCAAATGTAGATGAAGTAGTTAAAATAATTCCTAGATATATATAAATGTCACTCAAGAGATAAATGCATTCAAAAAAGTGGCAAGCACTATTGTGAAACCTGTTCTGCTTACAATTACTCAAAATATAACTTTTTAAATCCAATGGCAGTCAATCTATACAAAGTACTTAATGATAGTTTCACAGGTATTATAGAATTCATGGTGTAGAGTATGCAGATTTCTTTTTATGCATTTCTTGATCTTTACATATCTTTAATGAAATAAAAAGGAAGCCTCAGGAAAAGAAAAACACTTTTTAATTATTCAGAACAATTGTGGGACTAATTATACATAAGTGACAGCATAAATGACATATAAGGTCATTCAAAAAGTTCCCCTATATTATTAAGCCAGTTTAAATTCATAACAGATGTTTAAAATTTTCTTGATTCTATCATGCATCAAATTCTACCAATAGGCGAGGAGAGTAAATGACTCATTCTGGAGGGAAGAGAGCATTAACATTTTCAGTTTGAGAGGGTTCTATCTCCTGAGGAAATGTAATTTAGTAAATGTAACCCTAATAATGTAAAATTAGTTAACTCTTTAGGATCTTTATGCCCAATAGTATGCGACATCCCATAGCACACTTTGATGTTTTTCTATTCAAAGGAATGTTTTAAAAAACAAAAACAAAAATATTATACAAATATAGCACATAATTAATCTGAATATGTTAAGTAAGACGGGTCATAAAATCAATTAAAATATAGAAGTAGTTATCAGCCATATGATGTAAATATTATGGTTAGAAGGTTACTAGAATGACCTCATTCATTTCAGTTGAATTTAGCTTTTGTTTTCAATGACAGAATTAGTTTTCATGTGAAATATTTGCCTTATAAATTTCTCTTGATGCACAAACAGGATTCAAGGCAGAACACATTTACCTGTTTTTTTTTTTAATTAAAAATATTATTGTAAAATGACATAGTTTTCTAACAAATATATCACAGTTTAGTTAGTTCATAAGAGTTGATGGTAATTTTTATTCTTCCTCTCCCCCTCCAACCAAAGTTTAACTTCATTAGGATCAACTCTTCTTGTGACTTGAAAGAGAAATGCCTGATAGGGGGTTGTGAGCCAATAGTATTTCTTCACCGGCTATTAGGAATACAGGTCATATGCTGGTGACAAACAAAAGATTTCACCTTACTGTGATGAGACCAACCTGAAAGACTGCCACTCCTTTCTGAGCTGTTGTGAGAGCTGGTGGTGCTGAAATCCTGTGACTGGTTGTGTGGCATTCTATTAGACAATCCCTCAGCCAATCGGTAGTCAGGGATGTAAAGTAAGGCTAAGGGTTAAAGGGCAAAGGTCATAGTGGCATCATGTGATTAGTTCACAGCACAAGCCCATGCAGAACATGCAGTTAGCAACTCAGAAGCAGATGTGGGAAAGTGAAGGAATGTTTGGTCTATCCTATCCTAATGGAAGTAGAGATGGATTGTTGATTATTAGTTGAAAAAAATTGCTGGAAAGAATGAAACTGATCGGTGTTGCTGTGCAGTGGCGGGTGGCGATGGTGGTGGTGGTGGTGGTGGTAAGAACTGTTCAAGGTATTCAATACATGCCAAAATAGTGTTTTAGTTTAGGTAGTAAACCTGGGAATGAATCACAAAATTGAACAACAAATACTAATCTCTATCTCATGCACAAATGGTGTGAAATTCACTTCTCAAGAGATAAGAACCTGACTCACCATTGTTACCTTTGTTCTGATCAGGCAGAGAATAACCAAATCCCATCAGATCGGTTTTCTGCTGGACAGAACTTTTCCATTGTGGATCAGGCAGATCAACAGCCAGTTCATGGATGCTATTGGAATGCAAGATCTGTGTCGTGGCATATGGGGTGGCCTGTGTTATTTGGCTGGAACTGTTGTACGTTGTTTTGGTAGTGAAGTCAATGCTGCTATAAATGGCGCCATCTGAGAGCATTGTTGCTGTTTTATCCCCTTGGCCTGGAACTGGTGGCAGTACATCTGTGACGAACATAGGGAAATGAAGCCGTTTAACTATGCATAGGAAGATCAAAAATATCAGGATTGAAGATGAAAAATAAATGTGTCATGCTGCACGTTTGCATTTCAGCTGAGATGAGCTTCATGAGCCAATGAAGGGTAGATGATATACAACCATCGCCAAGCTATCAACCTCAATGACAGGCAAGCCTAGCGCTTGTCCTTCACATTTCACTTCTCCAAGTCTCTTTTAACATGAATGAGAAGTTTGAGATAATTCACAATGGAAAACCACTTTTAGTTGTTTCACCAGTTTTAGAGTCAAGCCTTAGCATGTTAGACAAGCAATACCTAAAAGGAACCCACAAATCATGGACGCAAACATCTCTTTCCACTTCACTCCAAATGACAGAGTACAATTGTTGAGTACTTGCAAATACTATCTCTAATTATACTATTCTCATGATGAAATATGTTTTTCTGAAGTTCTAACTTGCCATTTATCTGATTTGATTTTATAGCTCTAGAAATGGAGAATAACTGATAGTAGAAAATGTGCTCTTTTTTCTTGGATAACAAAGGAAAATTTTCATGAATAAATCATTTTCACAATACAGCAGGATTTAGCTTTAGAAAAGGCAATCTCAGTGATCAGTGAGTTTAATTTATGCTCTCAGCTCTTAGAAATGGAGAATTATAGTTCCACGTTGTAATACAGCAAGAGTAAAATTAAACTCAGGAACAACACTGAATATCAATCAGTCCATTTATCGTCTTGGTATGCTGAATTACCTTTATATGATGTTTTATAATTGGGATCTGCCACCTCTCTCCTGAGCACTTATGTTTTCTTTTTCAGAAGAAAGATACTAAGTGATCTTTAAAAAAAATATCAACACTGGTTTTAATCATATAGACTTAAAATAAGTATAATTATATGGCTTTCTTTAATAATAGATGCTCTGATAAATCTTACTTCATAGAATATGACATCACCAAATTACTAGATTTCTTCAGATTAGGAAATTTTCATCTAATTTAACAAACAGACTTAATGGCAATTAATTGTTCTTGAGATAGCCATATAGTGTTGCTTTGCAATGTATAAAAGTTAAAAATGTCCTTAGCAATAGTAACAAAAAGTTTGTAATATATGTTGTACATATTATTAATTCAGACTAACTGGAGATTTTTAAATCTGGAACTCTAATTTGTTTTATAAGTAAGTTGTGCATATGCTTTGCCAAAGTAAGGACTTTAAATGTATTAAGGCTATTCAAGTTTATAACACTTCAGAATCTCACATTTTCAGAATCTCACATTTTCTTGTCCTAGTGTAGCTAACTATTATTCACAAATATAAGTAGCATATTTCATTCTGAAGTAATAGCATCAGTTTTTTTGTTATTGTTTTTGGTTTGTTTGTCAGTTGTGAGGCTTGAACTCTGGGCCTGGGGGCTGTCCCTCAACTCTTTACTTCAAGGCAAGCACTCTACCACTTTGGCCATAGCACTACTTTCTGGTTTTCTGGTGCTTAACTGGAGATAAGAGTCTCATGGACTTTCTTGCTTGGGCTGGCTTTGAACCACCATCTTTAGATCTCAGCCTTCTGAGTAGCTAGGATTACAGGCACAAGCCCCTGGCACCTGGCTCCACTAGCATCATGTTTTAGGCTCAAAATCCTCAACTGTTTAATAATATACCCAAATTGGTGGAAATCAAATCTCTTGTCTGGATATATTTTCAGTCTTTTGTTTCTGCTCCCTGCATTCAATGTTTCACTTGTGAACATTAGTTGAACAAAAATGTTTCTTCAACATGGGACTCAGTTTCATACACTATGAATTTGAGATTCTCCAAAGCCTTGGATTTAGATTGCATGTAACTTCAAGTACAAGCTATTGATTTTTTTCTGTGCATAATGATCAAAAGTGAGAAAATGTAGCCCAGTATCTAATATTACTCTGTAACACTGAAGTATGGCTCTAGAAATAAAATGCTTTCCTGATAGATGAAATTATAGTCAGCTTGCAAGTCTAATAGCTTGTATTTTGATTTGGTTGGGGGCAGCACATTGTCTTCAAAAATCATTTGATCACTGCCACAGTTTCAAAAGAATGAACTGTATCCCAATATTGAAATATTGGAAGATTATACAGAAATGTGTGTGTGTGTGTGTGTGTGTGTGTGTGTGTGTGTATGTTTGTGCTTGTGTACGCAGAAGAGGCCTATAACATCAGGTTGTTGGGAAGGCTATGCCAACACTGTTGCCTTGCTGGATCTGAATAGGTCTTCTCATTGTTAGGCAGTACTTTCTTTATTCCATTTCTCACATTACCTTCTATTCCTTGCCTAAATGCTTTAGGCTATAGAGCACTTTTTAGTTTTTGTCTTATAAATCCAAGAAATGTAAAAACATTTCCTTCTAGTGTATACTTGCAATGCAGTTTCAACCATTTTGATTATACCTCCATTTAGAATTTATTTTATTTTGTATTATAGAACTGTATGTAGAAATTAAGTGGAGCTGTGGCTCAAGTGGTAGAGTTCTAGCCTTGAGCAAAAAAGCCTAGGGACAGCACCCAGGCTCCTAACTCAAACCCTAGGATGGGCACACATACACAAAATATCTGTATGAATAACTGCTTTTTTCACAGAAGCTTAAGCTACATGAGGACAGGGGCTAATGAGATTTATGTCTACATTTTCATAACTCATCACCTAGCATTGTGAAGAAAGAAAGCAATTGCCACTAGAATGATTAATTTTGTTTATATATTTTTATTTTTTGACATACGTCTTGAACACAGGTCTTGGGTACTCTCCCTGAGCTTTGGTGCTCAAGGCTAACTGCTCTACCACTTTGAGCCATAACACTATTTCTGGGTTTGAAGTGGCTAACTGGAGATAAATAATCTCAGGGACTTTTCTGTCCAGGCTGGCTTTGAACTGCCATCCTCAGATCTCAGTCTTCTGAGTAGCTAGGATTACAGGTGTAAGCCACCAGTGCCTGACTCATTAATTTTTATGGTTTGTATTGACAAATGAAAAATGTGGTAATTTGTATTTTTTTGGCCAAAACCGCATTAATAATGCATTCAAACAAGTGTCAGTATTCCAGTCTTAAAGATAAAAGATCAAAATCCTATTCTTAGGGAATACAGTTAGACATATGCATCTAGCTAAGATTACAGAGCACAGAAGAATGAAGACCTGAAGTTTTAAAATCTGTTAGACCAGCTCTCTATATCTATATCTCCAATTATTGGCAAACTTTTGTTTCTTGATTTTTAAATTGTTAATGTGTGGCACAACTTCTCAATTACATGAAATCATAAATGTAAAAAGGATAGAAATCTATGTAGTATTTCTGGCACAAAAATAACAATGTTTCCTATGGCCCTCATGCTGAAAGGGATAGAGTGAAACTTGCAAAAGCTTACTTTTGACCTTCACGGTCATGTGAAGCCTCTCTTGTCATGGAGTAAAAACGAGGTAGATATGGAAAAAAAATCTTGCCAATCTACACACGTATATTTTTGTTAAGTTGCACCACGATACTTTAGAAGTCAATGTAACCTGCTAGAAACTGTAAGAATTTTGTTCATATTTAGGCATGTAGTTCTTGACAGGCAGACAAAAGGTTGTTCTTGTTGAATACTAATACAAACGACAGAGTAAATATTCCTTAAAAGATAAAAAGCTTTGGGAATCCTATTCTATTGGCAGAGTCATTCAGCAAATCAGGAAGGGTGCTGTTCTTTCCTGGTGTAATGACAGTCTATAACAGCTCAGTGTCTGCTCCTGAGCAGAGGTAACTTCACAGTTGCCTGTCAAGTGATTATCCTGAAGGAGGTATGTGGACTACATAGAGGGAACAAGAAGTTGAAGAGACATGAAGTTTCCTCTCTAATGGCTTATTTCATCCACTGAGCACTGATCAAATGTGAAAGCTTTGTTTCAAACATTCACATCATCATCCATTCAATCCATTCCTACAATACCCTGGATGAGTATTTTATGCTTTATTGGAAGGGAGAGGAATTTTGTGGTACATCATATTTGTGCAACAAAAAATATTTGAAATACTACTTTAATTATATTCAGAAACACTCATAATATATTTTAAAGAGCACATGTCAGTATTCATAACTGTTCTACTAAGTATGGTTATATGCTTATACAATATGATTACGTGCATATGCAATGTACCCATATAACATTGGATCTATCCAGTAGGGATTTCACTACACTCAGAATAATTTATCACAGCCCTGTGTCTCCTAACTTAATTCTAGATATGTAAAAGTCTTTCAGTGTTTTCTTGCTTTGGATGACAGTAATCTCCTACTCACTCCAATTTCCTACTCTCTCATTCCATTTTCCACTCAGAAACAGACTGGGTGACTTCAAATAATGCTTAAATCCCGGAGTTTTCCACATCAGAATCCCATGAACAGCTTTGGATTGCTTCTGAGTATAGTTTAAATTTTTCATGTGACTTATAGTATCTTGTTATCCATCTCTCTGTATTTTCTACCATCTCTATTGCTTTGGATTTTATATGCAAGTTATTAGCAAGTTAATTAATTATTTAATTAATTTCCTACTTATTTGTGCCAAATTGGGAATGGAACCCAGAACTTAGGGCATACCAGGCATGAGTTAAGAACTCAAATACATTTATTTTTTGTTCTTTTTTTGTTCACTAGTGGTTTGAACCCAGCCTGGTCAAGCAATCTACCTCAAGTAGCATATATCCAATCATTTTCACTTTCAGTTATTTTTAAAGAAAATGTCTCTAGCTTTTATTTCCAGACTGGCCTTGGCCTTCAGTCCTCCTGCTTATGCCTCTAATAGCTGAAAACACAAGTACATGGCACTACTCATATCTGGTTTGTTGGCTGAGATGGTGCATTTGAAAACTCTTTTTGTAGGTTTTGTATGAACTGCACTCCTGATAGCTACCTCCTGGCTAGTCCCAACTAATTTCTTATTTTTTACTTTTTCTTTTTTTTTTCATTGTGTGTGTGTGTGAGAGAGAGAGAGACAGAGACAGAGAGACAGACAGAGAGAGAGAGAGAGAGTCTTGAACTCTGGGCCTGGGCGCTGTCCCTCAGCTCTTCAGCTCAAGGCTAATGCTCTACCACTTGAGCCACAGTGCCACTTCTGGTATTCTGGTGGTTAATTGGAGATGAGTCACACAGGCTTTCCTACCCTGGCTGGCTTTGAACCATGATTGTCAGATCTCAGCCTTCTGAGTAGCTAGGATTACAGGCATGAGCCATGGGTGCCTAGCAAAACTCATTGCTGAAGAGTTCAATGTCTCTGCTATTTCTGATCAATTTCTTCTCTACACACTTTTCTCATCTTTTTGCTTAATGCCTATCCTTTCTTCAGATACTAACATCCCCTTAAGAATGTTCTTACTCAAAGTGGGCAGTGTCCCCCTACAGTACTGAGGAAGCAGTTTAAGTTCATTTACTGTCTACAGTCCTCTGCCTCTTTCATACCAAATACTGATATCATAGACTCCTCTTTTAACTTTTTCTAAACTCATCTCTGCAATTGATTAGAAAAACAATTGGTAGTTTGGCAGGTGGGAGTAAATTATGATTCAAATATATTTCTTCTTAAAACATTGAGAGAAAAATCTATCACAAATCATTGGAGGTGTTAGCATGCTAGGTCCTTCACACCATTTGATCTCATTTGAAATTCAAGTTAACAATTGCAGAAAGTTCTTTCTGAACATGTTGTCCAATTTATTAATCTGCTGTCTTACATCAGGTTAAGGATAATCTATTGCCATACCAATACCCTATGCTTGGTGACTGCTGGAGAGCCACATATGATATATTCAATAAATTGATGTTTTAGAAAAGATTCAGAAAAGTGGAAGATATAGTTCAAAATCACAAGCCCTAATCAGCAACACGGTTTCCATAGATTGTACTAATATGCATGTAAACAAATTGTATTATGATCACTTACATTCTAGGTTAGTAAAGACTACCTTACAAACTTTGTTTCACTTAAGATAATGTAGATACGCTAGTTTTATAATAAAATATTTTACAAGAATACAACATTCATAAGCATATGTGCTAATGATATCTTAATTATGGAAGGAAACACTCTCTACCATGCTTTCTTTTGTGAAGGAATTGGGAAAGTCAAGAACAAAAACTCAAATAAAAATTATATAATTTAAGAAAATACGTAACTTACCTCCTCGCCCAAAATTCCCGATTTCACTGGGTCCACTGTTGCTGTTGTTTACTGGCAAGCTCGTGGCCGGCCACGAATCAGCAAGCCAAGGATAACTGGGATCGCCAGAATTTAGAAGACCTGGACGGCTAAAACCAAAAGGAAAAGGAAATCATCAGGTGATACAAAGATTCTCACACCTCTCTCCCACAAGACAAAGGGTGAAGGCATAAAGGAAGATTTTAATTGACTTCCAATTAAAATGTGAAGACTTAAGAATTAAGGAACTTTAGCAGTTCATTACTGCTATATATAGATCAACCCTGCCCGTGGAAGCAGAGAGTCCTTGCCTGGGCTTGTGCTGGCATCCAAATGAAATCAGTTGTCTGCCCCGAAACTGGTGACATAGTAGATTCTCAAACAAGGACCAATGACAAATTGATACCTCAAGGGAACCCCTGACATACCGGACTGTTCCATATCAGCCATTCCAGGAGTGTGGGCTATTCTATCCCTGATTCCTGCAGCTCCACATGAAGCTGTGTCTCGAGGCTGCCAACCTTATTATGAGCCATCGTGTGTTTGATTTAGAAGCAAAGAACTTGAGGGAAATTAAGGAATGGTACTTCCTGTTCCATCAATAGCATATTTCACTCTTCTAAATTGCCAAATATCAAGAGTATATTTAAGGCAATAAAAGATTCAGTATGATCTGATCTAGCATGTGACTACACTCTGTAAGGAAAAGTTCTCTCACCTCAGATATAATACAGAATTTTCTTCTTTAATGTTAAAGACTGGATTTCTGCTTCCTTTACATATGATTAGCATATTTACAAAGAAATAGAACATCTATAATCATTGTACTTTTTATGATAGACCCCTTCTGGTACAAATCCCTAAGAGAAACATGTGTTTCTATGGAAACTGCAATAAGAAGATTCAACTGCTTTCTTGCTACATTCACTAGCTCTCATTAGACTTAATCTCTTTTTGCTAAAATATTGATTAAATGGGAGATTGGAAGTTATTACCAGAGCCTAATTACAATCTCCATATTGGCAAAAGGAAAATAGATGAGGATATATGGGTTTGTTATCAGCTTTTATCAATTTCAATTGAGTATCCAAAATTGTGGAATCCAGTCCTATCAATCTACAGCCTATTCATCATCCATGAATCATTTACTTTGTGATCGATTATGTGTAATTGTTCACTCACAGCAATTTAGGGAGAGCCAATAAGGAGTCTTAAACAACAGCAACTTCATTTGCTAATGTCTAATTAATGCAGTAAACATCCTGCTAACAAATGAACACATTCCTTGTGATATTTACTACTAATTTCTTCAGGGGCATCTGGGAGATATGAAACATCTGGACTTGATTCCTCTAAAGTGTACAACAGATAGATCATTAAACCTTTTGGTAAGTCATTTAATTCCTCCTAGATTCCTCAGACTTGTAAGTGATCATTTATTTCAATAATGGCATCCTACTATAGTTTTCCAGTACTGATTAATAATAATAAGAGGGTATTTTCTTAGAGTACCTTCCATTGCTCATTAGTCCTCCATCCCCTCTTTGAAATGTAACTGAATGACAAAAAAGAAAGACATAATCAATATTAATTACAATTAATAACAACTACATATTATACCCCAGTTTAGAGTCCAAACCTCTGGGAATTTTAACAAAATATAATTAATGCAATTGTACAGATAATAACAAGCAGTGATTTGGCTAAGGGCAAAGTTTTCACTTGCTCAAACTTTAATAGAATATTTCCTTTCTTCAAGCAAATGTATGCTTAAATTAAAGTGATCATTTATATTTAGGTGTCAAACATTGCCACAAGTATTATGCACAGTGGTTATAGAACACTGCTGATGTGAGTTACCAAATCAAACTTAACATAGAGACATCTTAATTAGAAGCCATTAAACAGCACACAGAATAGACACTAAAACAGGATTGTTCCAAAACCAAATATTCTTCCAAAAACCAAAGGAAAGAAATATTCACTGATTACATTTTTCTCTCCTTCATAGATCTGTATAATTAAAGTTATTAGCACCACGAACTGAGCAGTGCAAATACAATTACAATAGACACAAACTAATTAATTCAGAATAAAACACTCCTGAAAATGAAATTTGCACACCATAGATACTGAAAGGATTCCAACTGTATATAATAATAATCAAGTTCAAGTTTCCTATAAATCTATAGATTGTATTAACATCACCAGCAAACCCATCATAGAGCTAAGGTAATGAATCCACTACCTTCCATCTATCAATGGCTTCTGTTCCACACAGCAGAAAGCAATGAAAGCGGTGTCAAAGATTAGCCAGAGAATGTAAATATCAGTTCAATTTCAACATCTTCTATACAAAATGTTTATGACCAAATGTATTTAAACTTCAAAATAATTTATCAATAAGAGAAATAATGTATGTTATATTCTACAAAACTATTTAGGACAGCCAACTGCACTGCACAATAATAATTTGGCAGTCAAACTTGAATATGCCTAGGCAGTAGTGTAAAATCTTTACATCAGAAATTAGTATCCATCAAATTTTACCACTATAAATTATTTTTTGCTGGTTCTGGGGCTTGAACTTAGCATGTGGACGCTGTCCCTGAGAATTTTTTCACAAGGTTAATGTTTTAATGCTTAAGGCACAGCTCCCAGGCTGACTTTGAACTGCAATCCTAAGATCTCAGCCTACTGCCATTAGTGCTCAGCATGCCACTAAAATGAAAGACAAATTTGTTTTTAAAAAGTTTATAAAATTCCTAATTAAAGTACATAAAAATATGGCACTGTATTTGTGCCAAGATCAAGATTGGGCTACCAGAGACAAACCTGGAAAAATACTGACTCAAAATCAGGAATTCCTTCTAACTTTTGAAAAATCAAGAGCGTTCATTTGTAACATGTGAAAGTTCTTAGCCTAACTGAACAGTGCAAAGGTTCAGTTCGGTTTAGTTAAGAACTAAAAAATTTTAGAATGGCATATAATTCGAATTTATTGCAATTTCATGGAAATATTAAAAGATTTAGCAAGGTCAGCACACAAAGTACTTTCAATATTATTTGACAGGATTAACCCTAATCTCATGCCAGCCAGAACTACAAAAAGCAGGAGAAAAATACAACTAGGAGCTAAATTGCCATTCTGAGGTAAGGAAGTGTTTAGAATGCCTATCTCTACCAAGTCACCTTTCCTATTCTGAATGAAAACTATAATGTTGCAGCCAAAACTCATTCCCCTTCCTGACAAACCATTGCTCAAGTATGAATGGAAATTAAACCTCTTTTAATAAGCACTAATTCAACCCAAATAATCAGAACATAAAAATTCTATCTAATCATTTGGCTGCTTTTGGATACCCTTGTTAAATAATTTATATGCCACTAATTTCTTTAAAACATGCATATGAAGTATTTAGAATTTTGTAATTTTGCTTGCTCATGCTAAACTGTTTGCTTTTACTAAATTTTATGAAAAGTTTTTCCTAAGGAATAATCATAAAATACTAACTTTCGGTATAGAAGTAAAAATATTTTTTCTTTATAATTTTGGCTGTCAATAATTGTAAATAATAAATGATATATAGCATAACTTTTTAAAGACCCAAATAGTCTTCATAAAAATTACCATGCAGTAATATAGGTACATGTAATATATATTTGCCAATTAGATTCATGAAACCACATAACCTTTTTTCAAATTTGTATTATTTATTTTTCTATTCATCAATACGGTAAACATGATCCAACATTTACTGCAAATAAAAATTCTCCTAATATTTTCTGCCCAAACTTCTTTTTAATTCTGTTTGATCTCATAACAGCCTAGATAAATACATTCTTCCAATTATCAGGAAATCTTCATTTAGGGACAAGAGGATTTTTAGTGCTCAACAAACAAAGATATATAACACGGCCTACTGCTCCAAGCAGGATGTCAGTTTCAGGAATAGCTTTTGTTCTATCTGTCCTATTTGTCATAGGAACTGAAAAACTTAAGTAACTTCTACATACAAGTAAGAGTTTAAACCATTAGTGTTCTAGTATAAATTAGTTACATCCTCTGACCCCTAAAAAGTATCAACACTGAGTAGCAATCTCTCTTTTGCTTTTGTAAGTTTTTAATATAATTTCTATAATAAAGTTATTCAAAAAGCAGCCATGATAAAAGTCAATGAGCAATGCTTGTCAACATGAGTTAAGTGGAAGGCTTGTTGGCCATAGTTAAGTCTCACCCCACAAGACAGTCCTATGTCTACCACTAAGCATACTGTCTCTATCGTATCTCTGCTGGTTAAGAAGATACTTGGATCCAAAAAGTATGTGTCGAAGAAAGTTCTGAAATCAAATTTGATTAGCTTTACAATTCTACTTATTGTAAATCTATTAACAGAACATGTCTTCTAATAAATGTGAATTATATCAAATGTTTATAGTTACAACTGGAGTTTTGAAAAATAATCTAGAGCTAAAATTATTTTATTATATATTTTCCTCTATTAGCATTAATTAGTTGTACAAGAAGGTTTCATTTTAACATGTTCATATAAGCCTACAATGTACCCTGATCAGAATCATCTCCTTTGTTAGTCTCGCTCATCCCTCTGTTCCTTCCCAAACAATTTTCTTCTCAACAAGTTATTAAAGTTATCAAATATCAAATTAGTTAAATATCAAATTACTTAAAAGGCTGAATCCAAATGGACTCTACTAAAAATCTTTTACTGCTATTATGGATCAGCAATTAGAGGTTATGAAGAGACTATGGATGTGAAACTTTATAAACACCTATTAGGTAATGAAAATATGAAATCTTTATAGTTTTCATCTTGTGAGTAAAATCACATTGCTTGAATATGACTGGACTCTGTTTTCATGCTTATAAATTGTAAGATTCTCAGAGCAATAATATATAAACTTTCTATATAAAACATGTGCAGAGTATATTCTACACAAAACACTTCAGAAAAAATAGTCCATCAAGTACTCTTGGTACTATTAAAATAATTCATTTTCTAATTTATGAAATTTCAGAAATATGAGTGCATGATTAACATGCATTCTACCATTCAATATTATTTAAAAATATCTTATGCTTTAAGTTGTATGAAAATGTAAAAAGTTGAAAAAATGGAAGATGGGTTATTTGGATGGAAAATATGTAGTAATTATCACAAGTCAGAAATGCAATGCTACATCCCTGTGGTTTGGAAAAACTTCATTTGCTTCTCATTTGGAAGAGAGTAATGTTGCTAGAGGTGAATTACTAGCTGAAGGGAAATCCATTCTGAGAGTCAACCCTCTATCAAATTTGAAAGACCTTTCTGTGACTTGGCCTTTTTCAAAAATATTTGAAAGGCACTGAACATCCTGAATTAGCAGGTTTTCCTGAAGCAGATGGGTATCAATCAAGATGAGAAATGACAATAGGAAATGTACTATTTGTGTCAAGCTCAATAACCGATTGATGTTTTAAAATTAACGTCATAGGATTTGCAAGGAACAGTGAAAAATATAAAGAAGAAAAGTCTTTCCAATGTATTAATATTAAAAGTATAAACCTTCTAGTTATGAGAACTATTTTATTTATAAGAAGTGAGTGAGGGCTGGGAAGGTGGCTCAATAGTAGAGTGCCTGCCTACCATGCATGAAACCCTGGGTTCCATTCCTCAGTACAACATAAACAGAAAAGGCCAGAAGTGGTGCTGTGGCTGAAGTGGTACAATGCTAGTCTTGACCAAAAGAAGCTCAGGGACAGTGCCCAAGCCCCGAGTTCATGTCCCAGGACTGGCAAAAAAAAGTGAGTGAATGAAGAAATTTGGAGGTTTAACTGGCACTAATCACATGAGGATATATTAGAACTTTGCTGTGATTTGAATGTCTATCTTCTAATATCACTAAAGTCACATGAAAGGATAAATACATATTGTCCTTGAGTGAAATCAGTTTTTCATTATGTTTTATAAGATTGTTATGAGTGTGTCAAAAAATGAAATGCATCTTAATGATTAAATGGATAGGCTCATGGACACTGTTTTCAGAGATGAATAGGAACTAGACTGCACATGAGAAGATGCACTGCAGAATGTGAATGTTCATTCTGACACTAAGAAGTTACTCTTTATTCAGTATCTGTTCAGGTATTTAGTAATTTGGTACTGAGGTGGTGACAAAGTATAAGGAACCAGGCATTAAGTAGCCTGAAAAGAAAATGGCAGACAGATGACATGTCATCCAACATGGAAGCCACTGTAAGTGGTTATGCTCCTTTCTCTAGTCCTTTCCGGAAAGTTATCCTGGTCAGAAGCCAAGAGATCTTATCTTCATACGATACAGATACACAATATTATTATCAAATTTCCATGTTTAATGCTACCAGGTAACAAGCAAAACAATCAAGTGCTTCATTTTTATACTAACTAGACATTATTTTCAATCTTCTGTTTCTATTATTTGGTAAGAAGAAACAATTCTGAATAACTCATATTGATGACTGCTTTATTGCTTGTTAATAACAGAAGACTGAATACAGTATCTCAAAACTTAAAAAAGTGTGTTAGGGATGATGATAAATTAAATTTTTCCCCTTGAAAATTTTATAAAGTTTAAAAACTGTGAATGATTTGTATAGTGGTTGTGGTTCAATGAACAATCAAAATATATTGAATCATAAGTTAGTATCTTAACCACTATCTCTTTATTTTTTTCTGCTTCTGTTGGCTTCTCTTTTTCTTTTTTTAAAAATTTTTATTTTTTGTGAACATACTGTACAGAGGGGTTACAATTACATGGGCAAGATAATGAGTACATTTCTTATCAAGCATTGCAGCCTCCTCCTTTGTTTACCCTTCACATCCCTTCCCAGCCTCCCCCCGCCCACCCATGGCTTCTCTTTCTTTCTCCCTCCCTCTCTCCTTTCTCTCTTTCTCTCTCTCCCTTAGAATTTTTGAAAGTTTTAAAAGCTATAATTTCTCACATGCTTCAAACTCTGTCTTAGATCTAAGAAGAAAACAATTTTAAATGTCCAAAGAGCATTTAGCATTTTCTCTGGTCACATTCATTTCCTGAATTGTTTTCCCTTTGCTTCCTTTTGCTTCTTCCTCCAAAAACATTTCATTTAAATGAATAGTAAATTACGGAATTAATGTCTCATCAGTTGTTTTTTAAATTCTAGTGAGATTTTTGCTTATTATATTCTTTATCTGGGACATTTTCCAGTGTAACCTGCATTCTGACATAGTAAATGCTATTTTTTCTAATCGTTAGTGAGCATTTAAATAGTGTTCTTAACATTCCTCATAGAATGTTTTTTGACATTCTATATGTATATTCTATACATTCTGTATGTATATATATATATATATATGTATATTTTTGAAGAACAAGTTAGGGAAAACATTTGAGCCTTTTATTGGCATGTATACTTGTTATACTTCACTGAACACAGAAGAAGAGAGATTGCCCGTGGTCAAAAAGCGATATGGTCAAGAGCAAGGAACTGAAGCATGCTGCTTATAATTGCATTTTACAGACCAGGTTCTTAAAACAAGCAAAAATTATTTGCTTCTTATCCCATTCCATTCCTCTTTCTCATTTCATTACATTCCTAAAGATAAGTAGTTCACATAGCTGAAAATAGTCTCTTACCAGCATAATTACTGAGACCCTTTCTCTTCTTTCTTCGCCAGTACAACCAGATGCTAAATCCCATCAAAATTACCCAGCAGGCACCACCAATACCAGCTATAAAGGCTGGTTGCTTTACGACATCAGTGATTTGTTCAGTTATGCTGTTGTTGTTCTCAGTAATGACAACTTCATTACGTCCCCCTATGGATAACACAATGTAGTTAGTTTGGATTAAGATAAAGAAAGAAAGAAACATGTATATGCTGTGCCCAGTGCACAGGTGATCCCTTCAAGCTCAGGTAATAACTGTTTATTTTTTGTTATTTTGTTTTGTTTTTACCTGCTCTTATCACAACTGCTGTTCAGCATTTTTGTGAGTGTATTAAGAAGAGGCAAATTATGTGTGTGAAAGTGTGGCTGAGAACATTATTCTTTTTGGTTTGCTATGGACAGATTCAGAACCAGTTCTTGATTTCTAGTCTTATATACAATAATTCAAACAAATACTCTGAAGTGAAATAACAACTTTCCTTGAATTAGGTTAAGAGTTATTTGATGTCAGTATTCTAAAAGGAAGCAAGTATTACATTTAACACGAATTGATATGGCACTGCCCATATTCAAATGCTTGAGTTAAAGATTAATGTCAATTTATATTACCCTTAATAGCTCACCAAATATTTTATTCATACAAACTATACTTTAATTTTTATAGCAAACATGAAAACTACTACATAAAATAATAATACCTATGAAAGCTTTCTTTCATAGAAATCAGTATGCATAATTAAAATTTCAGCGTATACACGAATGTGCTCCTATAGTATCTGAAACTAATTTGACAATCTATGTGAGCTCTGAAGTAAAAGACCAATTGTCACTAAAACATACATTTAAATTTGGATTAAGATTATTCTAGTGGTGGTTATGTATATCACTTAGAGAGAATTAAGAAAAATCTCAATCTATCTTTATTAGAGTTTAAATTCAAGGACTCATCATATAATAAAAGAACAAAGACTTAGCACTTAGTTCATGGATTAAGAAGTTTAGATCCAGAGATTTTTATTTCAAGTGTAAATATAAGATCTAATCAGTAGCTAATGAAATCCTTACAAGAGGTAATTTGTAAGTTTTATATATATATGTGAACATACAAACATATATAACACAAGTGCTACATATATGAAACATATATAACACATAAAACAGGACACATGTGTAACATATATTGCACACACATATATACACTATGTATTATATTTTAAAATATCCCATACAGGAATGTGGGATTTTCATGGAGCATTATCTTTGCTACTTACTAGCTAACTAAGCAGTAAGCTCTTATATAAGGAACTTAAATCTTTCAAGTCTCCTTGGCAACAATAATATCTACTTCACGGATTTTGAGAGGATTCATTGAGATCTTGTATATAAAGAGACAAATGGGGATATGGTAGTTTTGTATTCAAAATTATGACCGATATAATACTAAAGGATACCTTAACCTTTTCACAGACATGCGTGATAAATTCTCTAGATTTGAGAAACTTACAAGATACAAGTGATTTGCTAATGACATTGTTTATAATTTTTAGAGAAGAAAAATGGTCACAGTTTAGAAAATATTTAAAGAATATTAACTAGTATTCAGTAAGCACAAACTCTAACCTGTGACATTTTTTGGCAATTATTGGTAACTCAATCTTTCCTTATCATTAGACAGAAACATAGTGTTTCGCAGAAGGTAGTATGTTTCTGAGTGCTCAGGAAGAGTCCAAGATCTCTGAATGACAGTAGAGAATGGAAAACATATCACCCATTCTTCTCACCCATGTTCAAATAAATAACAAAAACATTTGATAAATATATAAAAATGAAGGCTTTGTTTATTATAGTCATTAGCATTCTGTTATAGATACTTATATGGTATTACTAAAAGCTTGTGTTGATCCAGATCTAAAGATTAAATTCACTTATGTAAACATTTTTCTTGTTACAGAGCATACTCAAAAGGAATATGTATTTATAGCTATATGCACATATACAGACATGTATATACGCACATGTTCACATATATGTACATATGCACACATGTATATGTGCACATATATATTTAACATAGCATATATCTTTAGATGAACACAATGGCTCATAGGTCTAATCTCATTATACGTGGAATTAGAGAACTAAGGTTTAAGGCCAGTCTAGGCATAGAGTTCATAAGAGTCATCTCAATTGATACACTAGGCATGGAGGTTCCCAATTACAACCCCAACTACATAGAAGACATTAATGGGAGGAATGTAGTGAGAGGCTAGCCTAGGGCAAATATGTGAGGCTGTATTAAAAAATGATTAAACTAAAATAGGAGTAGGTATGGCAAAAGTGGTATGGTAGACTGTACATCAAGCACAAGGCTGATTTCAAAATCTTGAGCTCAAATTTCATAAATAAATGAATAAATAAAATGAATAATTTAAGTAGCTCTTATTTTAAATATCATAATAATTATTGAAAAAAAGAGCCTTATAGAGCAAAGAGAAAAAACAGTTATTGTATAAAACTTCGTAAAATATAATACAGAGTTTGGGATGTTTATGTTAGACAAGGTATATCACTATTTTGAAACTGTTGTCAGCTGGATTAAGTTGAGCATATACAAGAATGCATCTAACCAGTGATGACCCTGTATTGTATGTAGATAAATAATTAGCTGATAGATGGATGGATACACAGATAGATAGATATAGATTTAGATTTAGATATAGATGGTCTCTCACTCACTGGAGTGTAATGAAAAACAAAATTGATTTGTTGAGCTAAAAATAAACCAGACATCAGATTTTATTATTCGTGTTAGTGCAAAAGTTCACAATCATTTTATACATTATTAATGATGTAAGGTAAGCATGAAAATTACAAACGATTAGAAAAACAATAGCTTGGTTATAAAGCAAGGTAATTACAAATTCTATGTTAGTGCAAATTTATTTCATGGGGTAGTGTGTGATGGTCACATATGTAAACACACTTGCTTACATTTTTGTGTCCTGAAGTTTAGTGATAGACAATTATGAACAGCTTCATAGAGAAGTCACTTTCCTACAGAAAACTTCAGAGAAGAAAGACCCTGATTTTAAATCTGCATGAAGCTGTGCGGACTTGATTGATGGCTACTTGAGGAAACTTTTTAAGATGAAGATTAAACTGAGTGAGTAGAGGTGAATCTTTACAAGGTCTGACACAAGACAAATTTAAAATTATTAACTACATCAAATGCTAATACATGATTTACTTAAAGCCATGAGGAAATGAAGTAGAGCTTGCCATTTGGAATGTGGTCCCAGTACCAAATAAACAATAGGAAAAGCATAAATTGCCACAGAATAAATCACTATTCAACTAAATAATAAGGGCTGTGTAGATAATGTTATTAGACAAGACGTGAAGGTAGATAGGGAAAGATAATTAAAGAAACAATTAGAATGCTTCTCAGTACAACAGTAGATATTAAAACAAAATAAATCTCCTGAGAACAAATAGCCATTTGTGGGTTGAACTTTGCTTATGTGTACATATGCACTCATTTCAAATAATACAATTCTATTTTTATGATTACCCCAGGAGCATTGTGTATTCTAATTACCTGACTAGAGACAGAAAATTCACTTAACTACATTGTATTTCATAGAAAAAAAATTCGGTAACACTTAGAACACTAAAAATAAATTAGAAAGTACTTAAAATCCATTTAGAGACTGAGTCTTTTTCAAATAATAGAAGAGTTAAATAAAGCATTCTATTAGATTAAAATAGTAGGAATTAACTTCATTATTTTAAGTTACTATACAACTGTGCCATAACATACCTTCTCATTGTCATGACACAGGTTTGGATATAATGCAAGCTAGCAATATTTTATTTGACTTCAAGAGCAATAGATCTCCAAAGTACTACCAGGTGGTCATTAGTAAAAAACAAAACAAAACAAAACAATGTGTCCTACTTACATTGTGAATTTATTATAAAAGAAAAGAGAAATATGAAACACAAAAGGGAAATACAGTTTTTCAGGAATCATCAATAAATCCATTACACACACATCTATCTATCTATCTATCTATCTATCTATCTATCTATCTATCTATCTGTCTGTCTGTCTGTCTGTCTGTCTGTCTGTCTGTCTGTCTGTCTATCTATACAAGAACTATAGTTAAAATTTTTCCTAATCTAGTGACTCTCAGAGAAAATTAGTCTTTTGATGTGTTTCATGTGTGTGCTTTGTTTCTTTTTATGAGATAAGGTTTTCTTACATAGATCAAGCTGAACTCAAACTCAGAATTCCTTTTCCTTCAATTCTCAAGTGGTGGGCATGGTCCACTACTCTTGAACCTCAGATATAATTTTTAAAGTCAGAAATTAATAACTTTTTTCTAAGCGCTATAAATATTCTCTTTCCTTCTCTTGACTTATATACGTTCATGAACATACTATATGTATTTCATGAAAATGTAATATATATATACATATATTTCATAGAAATATGATATACACACATCCATATATATCTGTAAATCATTTTAGTTATACATCTATTTCTTTTGTATTCCAATTTAGCTCAGAAGATCTCAGAAGAGAGAAATTTTAGCTTTCCCTCAGGTTAAGGAATTAATTTAGTCTGAATGACTAATTAAGAGAGGAAAGGCAATTGAGAGAAAAAGTAATAATTTACCTATATCTCTTCAGCATCTTTAATATAAATAAAAGTCAGAGAATCCAGAGTTTGACATTGTGACTGAATGTTAAAAGTTCCCCTATGCAATCTTCATATTGTAATAGAAATAATTACCCAACAATTGGCAACATACTCTGTCATTTCAGTCAATAAATAAAACAAAAAAGGAATGACTTATAAATCCTCTGAATATTTTTTAATTTATAGACTGTGAGAAGAATTTCTTTTTTAGCTAAAGATATTGCCAAGTGAATAAAAGCAAGGAGAAAGAAATTTAGTCTCTTGAAGGAAGGATGCTCCATGACATGAAATCTGTACTATGTTTATCCTTTCTCATTGGGACTGTCAGTCCATGCAGTGCCAGAAAGGTAGAGCCCCAAATGAAAACCCTCAGCCTTTCTGGTATGGTGGGCTAGAGTTCAGAGTTCATAGACAGACAGACAGACAGACAGACAGATAGATTAGATACATAGATAGATCTTTGATAACTTAGAACTTCTGTCCAGAATAAACAACTCCTACTAATCAGTAATAAGAGACAAATGAATGGAAAGGCAAGACCAATGTACAAAGGAAAACCTACCCAAGGAGTATTGCTTAACATTAGTCTTGAAACAAAATTCTACTTAAAATTACAAGGAGGTTTTCTGTTGTGTACACTAGAGTGAGCTCAATTGCGAAGATCGGCAAGTCATCTCTTGGTGATAATATAGAGACAAAATGTCCTTCTTCCTTGCAGGCAGATGTAGACAGATTTACAATTTGGAAATTGGTCAGCAGTTTTTGTTGTTGTTGTTGTTGTTTTTTACCAAGTCAAAGCACATAACGTTTTTATCTAGAAATTCTACTTCTAGGTATTTCTCCAAAAGAAATAAATGTGACTCAAGGAATCTTAACCAAGAGTATAAATTCTCTGAAGAGAAAGACAAATCAACAAAATGTATCATATTGCATTCTCTCAGCAGTAAGCCATTTGAACTGCATAATGCAAACTTGGGTGATTCTCATAAAAAGTAACATAGTCAAAGGACCTTGGGGATTCAATTTATGTGTATTTCAATAATAGACTAACCTAATCCAGGTGATAGAAAACAACTTTATGCAATAATGGTAAATGCATGTAATAGCTATTTCTTCTGTATGGAGAATTGACATGGATTACCTTTTTTGGGGGGATTGTTTGGGGTTGTTGATACTTTTTTGACTAAGAGAGCATATATCTTGGAGACATAACATATTCTCTTCTGCAACTCTCTCATTTTGTTTATTTCAATGGCATCAAAATTAATATTCAATCAAATAAAAATATTTTTCAAATCGTATTTTAGTCTTTAAACTCTTGCTGATTACACTCTTTAGAAGATTATTGGAGTCATAAGAGCACAAGCAATGGTACTATTTTTATTTATTTATGAATTTCTTCATTTAGTATTCTGTTTTGAATTCAGAGTCTCATGCTCTCACTTGCCTTTTTCACTCCAGGCTGGCATTCTTGAGCCACAGCTCCACTTTTGGCTTTTGACTGGTTACATTCGAGGGCTGGTTTAGAATTGTGATTCTCAAATCTCAGCCTCCTAAGTAGCTGGGATTACAAGCAAAAGCCACCAGCAAGCACCTAGCTACATATCAATTATTTTTGTAAGAAATCCTTGTAGCTAATACATGCTTCCATAGTACATGCTGCCCTATCACAAGTACACATTTATAATTAGCATGTTGACTCAAAAACATCTACCTTACTATCAGCTGACAGCCAAATACAGATGGCAGACATGGATACTTACCAATTATTATTGGCTGCGGTTCACTTTTTACTCCAACCCCAGCACTTGTACTGGCTGCCACCTCTACCCGGTATTGAATTCCTGGGAATAATCCACCAATTATTACAGACCGAATGGCTGCATCCACAGTTTTGTTGATATGGAATCGTGTTTCATTTCCCAGACACCAGATCTACAGAAACATAGTAAAAACATAATAAATATGAAATTATCTTTTCTGATAATTATAATTGATTAAATATTTGTTATTAGTAGCCCATTCTGTTTTCTAGGCTTATAGTACTGTTTGTACATGATATTTTATAGCCCAATCTCTGTGTGTATTGACATGTGTACATATTAAAGGAAAAATAATAAGACAAGCTAAAACAATATCATGTTCATTTATATCTTACAATCATGATTATGTACTCATAATGAGTTGGAAATGACAATGATTCCTGTAATAATATTTCTGAAAAGAAGTCCTTGGTTACAAATAGCATTTTGATATGGATTAAAACATATAATTTCCTCTTGCTAACTAATCAATATTTATTCTTCCACATGCTCTATTGTAAGTGTGGTGATTATAAGTAACACTATTTGAGATATACAGGAATATACCCAAATAATTTATATTTCACTTAAGAAAATATTAACTTACATATAAGTAGTTAACAAGATTAATTGTCCCAAGTTATCACTATTGACTAAAATGAAGTAAGCCAATATTTAAACTTGACACTAACAAATCTTAATATTATTCAAAATATATCTTCACACATTCATGAGAACAAAGTAGTAGGAAGTCTTTATACAATGATTTTAATAAGCTGGGATTTTACTCTGAGTAGAAAGCAAAGTTGATGATATATTTCCTTTGGGGAGGTAGAAATCTGTTACAAATATAATCTTATAAATGTCCCACTATATTGCTACATTTCTATCATTTTACATACATGTACAAAATTTGGAATACTTAATTTTGTTTCTGTCAAGGATATGTTCCTGAAACTTCTTCAGTAATTTCTATGAATTGTGTTTTTTTATTTACATACACCTTTTGTGTCCCTACTGAAAGCCTAGCCCATATATATATATATATATATATATATATATATATATATATATATATATATAGTATGGAATGAGCTTTGTATAACATGAAAAAACATCATATTGTGATCATTATCAATATTTAACAAATTAATTGTTTAGGTTATTTAGTCATAGATGGTGCAAAACAAATTCCTAACCTTATTAACACACACATAAATTGTCAATCATGTCTTCAGTGTTCCAATAACCTCCTAAAATTTATACAACTGTCTAAGCTATATAATTATGCCATTACTATAAAGACATTTATTCTTCTTAGGTACATGTGTTTACATTGTGATGAGAACAAATCTAAACTAAAATCCTAGGTATTTAGTTTATCTATTTGCTTGAGTAAGTTTATCTTTAACTTAACGAAATCCTATTTAAATTTTTATTATGTTTTAGAAATAAAAATAAAATTTTGGGTAAAATTATTCAGTTGAATTTCACATAGTAAGACTAGCAAAGCTACAAGTAAAATTTTATTGTGAAAATACTGTACAGAGGGGTTACAGCTACATGGGCAAGATAATGAGTACATTTCTTATCAAGCATTGTAGCCTCCTCCTTTGTTTCCTCCTCCCATCCCTTCCCATAACATAGGATTTTTATCTTACTAGATAACTAGCATAGGAAGATTATTAATATGAACATAGATTGTGAAGGTGCAGTAGATTATCTAGATTTCTTCCTGTGAATCTAGAGCATATGTTATTTTTTCTGTTGTTAGTTTGCCATGAGATTTCAATATGTGGCTCAGATTGGCCTGAAACTCTTGATCTTCTTGCCTTAGCCTTCTCAGTGTAAAGAGAACAGGAATACACAAACACACTCAACTAGAAATATTTATAATAACAAAATGTTTTATTTTGGGATCTCCTCAAAGCTTAATGAGGTATTTTACACCCCACAATATCAAATAACAGTGCAATTAAGCAACATCTGGTTTTAAAAAGTTAGAAATAGATGAAATAAGAAGTACTATTTCAACACATTAACAAATCTGTTGAAATTGAGAGAACTACTACTTTTAAGTTTCTTCATTTCAATGGCTTCCTTTTATCAAGGCAAATATTTTACAAAACCACAATTAAATAAATAAACACAGCATACAGTATAGGATTGGTGGTGCCAGCTCCTATTTCCTGTCCATCCCTGCCCATATATCAGAGTTACATGTCTGAGAATTCTAATAATAAAGATAATGTAGGTTCTGGGATGAGAGCTGTAACATTGCCTGAACCCACCACTCAAAATCTTTGAAGCTCCTGAATCTACTACACTGACAATTTCTTCTGTCTTGAAGTTTAGCTGTCTAGTTGAGTTGTGTGTTTCTTCTTGAAATCTGATTCTAATTCTCTATGCATTTTTCCTGATCTGCCATACAAAGAGATATAGTTCCTTTGTGCTGAAACTTGCTCATTTTTTTAAAAAGCTATATTTTTATTATAAAGATACTTACAAAGGGGTTATAGTTACATGAGCAAGGTAATGAGTACATTGGCTATCGAGCATTGCTACCCCCTCCTTTGTTTTTCCCCTACCATTCCTTCCTTCTCCACCTCCCCAACTTCTGCCTTGCACCTCTCCCCCCACCCCCTGCCCCATTCCAGAAGCTATAAAGTTTATTTTCCACATAATGCCTTGTACATCTCATTGTTACAATGGGTCAACCTGTATCCTTGTTTCAGCATTTTATTATTTCCCTTCTCCTCCCCAAATTAGAAAAATGTATATACAAGATACATGGCACTGGAAAGAAAAAGAGTGAAAACAGGGGTTATACCATGGGGAAAGAACATACAAAAGAAACAAAAAAATGTCTTTCTTCATAGTAGAGCCTTACTTTTTTAGGACATGCCTTCTCTCTATAACACTGAGGTTTCTCTGGGACACTATGTCTGTGAGGCCTCCTTCTTCAGCCAAGCTTACCTTGTATTCTTGGATAATTCCATTCTGGTGGTCTGGAGGAGGAGGATCCCAGGAAACACTAATGCTTGTGCTATTTTGGCTTCCAACTGTCAGCACAGTGACAGATTGTGGAGGGGCACTTGGGGCTGCAGAAGAAGGAATTGGAATAAATGCAAACTGCTGGTCTTTGTGGTATACATTCGTGCTGCCTACAGACAACGAATATAATGTCAAGACATATAAAATTCCAGTTACCAATAGTTCAAAATCTGCATATAATATCCAATAGGGACAACATTCTAGGAACAGCACTTTAAATTCATTGTATAACTTTAAAGCAAATGCAACAGTCCAGGTAATGTACTCTCAATACATTTAACAATTAAATTTGAATGAATGTGTTTTGTATGCCTTGCACTCAGCTTCATGTCATTTTTAATTCTTAAAACAAGCTCAAGGGATAGAAATCACTGTTATCTCATTTTACATACAAGGTAACAAGCTACTGTAAGAGACTCATCAAAGCCAAAAAGCAGGTCAGATTTGAAGCCAGATATGTTTAATTGTAGAATTTTATTATTCCAACTCTAACAGACTGTGTTTCTGGAAATCACACATGCACAAATATGCTTCCAATCAAACATATTCTTAGAGGACAAGCTCCACCATTGTATCAGACATTCTTACCCAATGCTAGCATTATTGGCAGGTTTTTTTGTAATGTTTTGTTTTCTGTTTACTAAATAAAAATAGAAACATAACAACAAAGAAAACATGGTTTTCTTTTATCCTGGGGGAAATAATTGACCATTATAAACTGGTTCATAATTTGAAATTAAAATTTATTTTATAGGGATGGACAAGAGGTCCTGCTGATAAAAATAAAAATAGGTTCATGTTGGGTCAAATGTGAAATGGGAATATTTTGATTTCCCACAATAACTCTTCCTTTATAGTTTTTCCTATAACTAATTATCACCATGCTGAGGGGAGGTGAGTGAGAAATCATTCCTGATATTAAACTGCAGTCGGTACCATTCAGTGTACCTGAAAGCTAAGAAATACTCATTTTGAAGAAAAACTCTCTGTTCAAGGAACTTCTGAATTCAACAAAAATTGAAAAAGGTATTTTCTTGATATTTTTTCTTACATCCAAGATATTCTCATCTTGGAAGGGCTTTATGTAAAATTATCAATTTTTTTCCCACAGCTCTACACAGTTTAACCCTTCAATAATATTCTAAGTACCCCTCCCCAATAGTTAAAAGTCTAGTTGATAATGGCTCCCATATTTGCTATGTCTGTGATGAATGTGTGACCACATTTACACTGAGATATAGGTTTCTGACCATCAAATGCCAAAACACTTTGCTCTTCACTAACAGTATGGTTCTAAACTATGGCACAATGACATAAATCTGACCTCTTGTCTATCTGCCTTGTAGTTATTAAGTAGACTGCCCTGTAAAATAACATTTTTGAAACTGGCTTTTCATTGCCCTGGCTGCTTGCTTTCTGAGAACACCGAGCCTGCTTCCTGACAGTTCAATTATTCCAGTGCTCAGCTTCTTCCTACAAATGTGAACAAACACAAATCACAGCTCAATGTTCCCAGACATAGTCCAGCTTAGTTCCATTTGTTACTATCACCAGGCCACTGAACTTAGAGACAAATGTGAACTGAGCAGTGATAAATGTCTAATCTCAAGGAAAAGTTGAACTTCAGTGAAAGCTAGTCAAACCTAACACACTATGTTAGGAATAGTACCTCTCATTAGTAGTGCCAATTTGCAACATATGGTAAAAATATAATAGTGGGTAAAAATATTATTGTTAATTTTAGTGTTTTTCCCATTTTTTTCAGATATCCTAAAAATAGATTAATAGTGCATTTAAAAACCTGTATGTCTTTCCATGTATAAAGGGAGAATGTTGGAAGGGTGACACTGATCAAGATGCTTTATGTTCATAAACTGACACTGAATTAAAATTCTTTCATCTAAATATTTAAAGATAATGAAAAAAATGTGCAAATATTTTTCTGGATATCATATTATTGACAATGTATAAATGAAAATCTCTTAAGTCAAACAACTAACTGTCAGTACAACCAATATACATTTTCTTAAAGCTCTTTTGTAGATCATTTTAAATAAAAATATATTTAGACAGAAGGCTCTTAATAGGAGGTGTGCACACAAAATTGGTACAAAAAGCAGCACTGGAGATTGGTTTCATTTGCCATCTCACTTTTCAACTTTGACGGCAACAGTTAGTTTAAGGCTGAGTAAAGTAAATGGACTGGGTCATTTAGTTTGTCTTTAGTTTCAAGTCTATCATAGATTGGCATTAAAATAGCGATAGGTAAAATAAAAAAATCCAAATATGTGAAAATATGCAAGTAGACTCCTAATTAAATTATAGGTCAGACTGGGAGTGCCTGTGTGTTTGGCTAGATTAGTCACCATGAAGTTCTTGTGGTCTTGGGTTTCCTACAATCTGTAATTAATGAAACAAAAATAACCTAAATCCATGCAAAATGTGGGGAAAATAACCATACAATTCAAGTGCACTATCACGAAATATTTAATAAAAAAATCCAATTTACACTCTCAGTTTTAGAGTTCCTAAATTCCTAGAATTTAGAAAGGAAATCAGTTCTTAGCTTGATGCATTCTTACTATTCTTTCAAGGAACAGGGAAATTAATTGATTTCATTGTCATGTTAAGTTTGATTTACGTTGGAAATCTGAATAATAAAGTTTGTGTGGTAGTATATGCATATAATTGTGAGTCTTGGGAGACAGAAAAGGAGGTTCATGCATTATAGGCCAACTTAGGTTGCATATAAAGTCTCTGGCTTATAAAATCAAAATTATAGAAGAGGAAGAAAGGAAAGAAGGAATGGAGTGGGGAGAGAGGAAGGAAGGAAGGAAGGAAGGAAGGATGGAGGTAAGGAGAGAAGGAAGGAGAGAGGAAGGAAGAGAGTCATCAAACTGACCTTCTTCAGTAGTTCGAACTGTTTTGGATTCACTATCCATTCCTTGGAACTCATTAAAATATGGTCGAACTTTAATTTCATAGGTCACACCCTTTTTGAGATTGACTAAAACAGCACTCCGTTCAGTAGGGACTTTGGCATCTAAATTCTGCCATGAAGTTGTAGCTTGCAGGCCTGAAGTCTGACGATACATCACTCGGTATCCTTGAATAAACTGAGGCTGACGATCCACCTGAAAATCAAACCAAAGAGATTAGAACCTGAAGATCAGCATGCCAGATATCATAATCAAATCAACTTTTCTTCTCCCATATCAGCCTTCAGAGCTCTCAGCATCGTCATCCAATTCAGTATAACTCTAAATGCTTGTAATAAACTCTTCCAATTCTCAATTCACATCGTCCATATGAGTATTTTTAAAATGAAGTGTGGACCAGCTCATTTTCGTATTTAAAATATTTTACAATATCTATACATATATTCAATTATCTCAGGTTGTATAGATTTGTACAAAGGGCTGTTAAGCCCAAGACAAGCTTTGTGTTTCCTCATTCGATTGATACTTCCTGCATTAAACAAATTATTTTTATGATTTATACATAACACACCATTTGTCAGGGATTTCCACTCTCACCTCTTTCTATTCACTCACTGAAAATACTATTTTTTTTTTCACCCTTACTAGTTAGTGCTAGAAACTTGGCTGAATTCTATAGCCAAAACCAGTTGAGGGTACAGTCAACGTCTTGCCATCAGATGTTTAGCATGCTGGTAGAATAGAGTTATGATTACAAAAGAAGCAAAAGCAAATTTTTTGAGTGAAGTATGGCAGGAAGTAAGAAGGCCTATAGTGTAGAGGAGGCTGGCTTACTCCAGGAGAGGAGACATTCCCTGAAGATGTCACAAGTTCTAGTCTATAATAAAAGAAGCATGTGACAGGGAGATAATAGAAGAGAATATATAAACTTCCCATGCCTGTACAAAGATAGGAGAGGTTAAATTTATAGAGCTTAAATATCTGTTTTAAATGCAAAAACATTACTTCTAGGAACAATAGTAAGTAATGTTTTATTATTTTACTAGCTTTTATCTACAGCTTCACTGAACACATTATGACAACTTTCTTCTCTCTTTTAAAGTACAGCAGCTATTTTTCAATACCAATCTGATATTTTGAATTTGAAAATTCCTATCACAGAGAACTTTTTAAAGCATTTTTATTCACTTATGGTGTATACATAAAAATCAAGCACGTATAAATGCAAGACAAAAATGGACCATTTACTCTTTATATATATACAGTACAAAATTAACAGGAAACCTACTACCTTTTCAACTTCAAGTGAAAATTCTTATAATTTTTGAAAAGAATTTTAAACAGCTCTTAATGGCTGATGCTAGTTGTATAAATGCCTGATTTAAACATAAACTTTGACAGCACCATCTCCAATTAGTCATCTATATTGCAGTTTAACAGCCAGATCTTAAGAAAATTTATACTTGACATATTTCACTGTTAAATCAAGTATAAGATTAGCAGGAAAGAAATAACTTCATTTCAGAAAGTGGCAGAAAAAGGGGAAGTTGAGAATGTGATAATGGAGATATTTATTGCCCACTTAACCATCTCCATCTTCTGATGGATACACTTATTTCCAATTTTTCTTTATTCAGTTGTCAACATTCTTTTGGGTACAAACATCTAACAAAATATGTTTGTGGGTATTGACTTCTAACATTGTTTATTTAGTTGTGGAATGTTTTATTGTTAAGGATAGGCAGCAAAGAAGATAAACGATTAGTAGTTTAAAATATTACCATTCAACAGGCCAAAATGTAGAACTTGAATTAAAATAAAGTGGAACAAAGGATTATGTTTCTATGTTTGGAATAACCAAGCTGGTAAACTCCATAAAGTGGGTGTATAGGAGCCCCTGCATTCCTTTTTGTTGCTGTTTTCACCTTTCAAATGAGTCTGGACAAGTAAGAATTTCTTCACTCACCCAATAGCTTCCAAATCTCAAAAGATTTTCTGGAATTAGTACCTCATATGACATGACATCAAGAATAAGTGAGTCCAGGTCTAACATGAAGGTTTCTGTGCATAGGGCCACCATCTATTCTACCCTTCTGTACTTCCATACACTGACAATATTTATTTTGAAAACCAAAAGTTATTCCAACATTATAAAATAATGCTACCAAGAAGCAAACTATTAAATATATGAGGACCAGAGAGAGACACCTTTCATCAAAACTGTCAAAGTTCAAAAAAATCCTTGCAGTATATATTAGAACAACAGTGATCTTACATTTTATAAACTTGTCCACATTTGGTTTAAGTGAATTTATCTGCTGAAAGAAAGACATAACTCACAATAATAGCTTGTTAATACTGAAAGAAGCAAGCTGTGTTTTTAAGGAGAACATTAAGCAGCTGTTTCCAGATGAAGAGAGTCTGTAAATCAGGGCAAATTGGTTTTATCCATGTTTGGTTTTCATTAATTAAGTGTTTTGGAGACTTTATGAAGCTAGTGTTTACTACACAACATTGCCTTGCTTACTTCAGCGGGCACTGCCATTAGCCTGAAATAGTACAATGGCCTGCTTAGTAATTTAGTGCTTTTATTTTGTGCATTTGGGGTAGTTTTGTAGGGAACAATCTACAGTTACAGGTAGAAACAAAAAATTAAAATGCTGACCATTCCCTTAAGTAAATAGGTGGACTTTTATTGTGCATACACATTCAATACCACTCCCTATTGTAGGGCCTTGGGACAGATGATCTTTTTTCAAGTTGCATCATATACTTTTGGGTAGTTTTATTGATGTTCTGGTCATAAAAAAGATGTTTGTTCAGAGGAGATTTTAATCAGTCTACCACAAATTTGTGGGGTCCTATGAATTAAAAAGATGGTAGTTTGTGAGCCTGAAAGAAAAAAAAAATAGCTATGGCAAGTGCTTCAGATGTTCAGTATAAGACCTGGGTTTGAATGACAGCACAGTCTCTAACATTCTGAACAGCTCAAGAGTACACACACTGAGAAATGACTACTGAAGCCAACACACATAGAGCTCTAGACCTGTTTGTTGAAGATGGTACTTTATAAAGAAGGGGAGGCGAGTGGCATAGGTATTTTAGTGTTTTGGTTGAATTCTTTGAGATTGTCAGTAATTATCTTTTCAATGTAAAGAACTACACAAAAAACAAACCATGGTAAGCAGAAAATTTGAAGTGAATTTGCTTTGCTCCTGACTGATTTGCTTTTAATACAGCTCTGAAAGTTGAGTTTGAAGAAAAAATATTCTCCAGTGCCACTGGCATAATGCTTAAGCAGCAGAGGTCTGTGATTCTTTTTGTCTTTGAACAAAACCAACAAAAATACCTTTACTACTCACTTCCCCAAAAGTGATTTTTTAATGATCTCTACTAGGTAATAACTATTTTCTTATTAGCTTTGCTTGCATTCATTATTACATTAATTAGGTTTAGGAAATGGAGCTTGTTAACTACTACTGTTTTAACATCAACCTGTGATGAGGAGTGTGTTTCTCCTCCCTTATCCATTTAGCAAGCTGAAATTATTACACAAAATAGTCACAACTTCTTTGGCAATAGATTTACCTTTAGTCTGACATTTTTCACTGGACTTACTTTCCTTAAAGAAGGTACAGTGATGTATCTCATTTATGAGTCTAAACTACCTGAACTAACACCTGTGATATGGGTTGAAGGCTTGAATTACTTATATTTTCAAACAAAATAAGTGTACAACCAACTTAATGAACAGTTATTGAAGAAATATTTCATCACAGACACTCCACAGTAGAAACAGACATAAAAGTAATAGAGTCTGGACATCACTGTCTTTGAAGGTGATGGATTCACAAACTTGTAATAAGTAGCCGCTTTCCTAGAGGAACTCCAAGTATACTGCCATATAATTCTGATCTAATTTTACAAACTCGTTAACTCAGTGTGTGCTAAAGTGACTAACTATATTGACAAACATGCTACTTTAATTCTTACCCTCATTGAGAAGCAAGGTGAAAGAGGCCCTCTCAAACTACCAATATGTTTTCAATTGAGAATGAGGGAAAATATCCCCTGAAAAAATATGCTACTTTTTGTTGGGTAGTTTTGTAGATAAAGATACTAAAAGAAACATGGGATATATGCCCCTGATTGTTACATGGAATAATGATGAGAGTACCATCTTCCCATCATGCGAACACAACAACAGAAATTATTATATGATAAACATCAAATGTTTATTCAAAACCTATCAAAATGGAAGTAGCAATATTATAATCTTAAATAATCATCATTAATTTTTTTGTGCTCATTCTGTGTTATCTCTGAGGTTTTTTTTAAGGATGCTGCTATACTCCTTGAGCCATGGGTCCACTTTTGGCTTTTTGGTGGTTAATTGGATATAAAAGGCTCATGGATTTGAACCCTCACATAGGCTGGCTTTGAACCATAATCCTTGGATCACATCCTATTGAGTAGCTAGGATTACAGGTGTGACTCACCACCATCTGGCTTTTAAAAAAAAATTTAGTCATAGTTGTAAAGGATTATCCAACATTATACTTATAAGCCAGAAAATGGACTGAAAAATGACAGAAAATAACCCATTTTCACTGTATTTGATGTTGGTATAATTTGGGGAGGGGAAGGGAAAAAACAAATTGCTTAAATAGGGGTATATGTGGACCCATTGCAACGAAATGTACAAGACATTATGTCAAAAAATGAACTTTACAACTTTGGGGACGGGCAGGGTGGTGATGGGAGGGCAGGGATGGTAAAGGGAAACAAAGGAGGAGGCAAAAATGCTTGATAAGAAATGTACTCATTGGAAGTGGTATTGTGGCTCAAGTGGTAGAGTGCTCGCCTTGAGCTGAAGAGCTCAGGAACAGTGCCCAGGCCCAGAGTTCAAGCCCCACGACCAATCAAAAAAAAAAAGAAACATACTCATTACCTTGCTAATGTAATTATAACCCTTCTGTATGGTATTTTCACAATAAAAAACTTAATAATAATAATAACAATAAAGACTAAAAGCCTGCTATATCACTAATTTTGCAAAAAAAAAAAAAAGAGTGTCAAAGACTTTCCTGCCAGGGATGGCTTTCACCTTTATCCTCAGATCTCAACCTCATAAGTGCCAGAGTCTAATTCCTGTCTAATATGTGATGTTTTTTACATATGTTTCAGCTAATAGAATATAAAGATGGTTGCTTTAAATTCAGAAAAATACTCAGATATAAACTTTTTTGTGTTTCTAATAACACCATCAAGAAACTAAAAACAAAACACAGACTGGAAACATTTGCAAATCATAAATCTGACAAATGACATATTCTTAATACATAATTACTCCTTTAAAGTCTGTAATAAAGAGACAAATAACTTGAAAATGGACCAAGAATTTGAATGTGATTTTCTGAATGAAAAATACAAATGGTCAAAAATACATGAAAAGATGGACTATATTATTATTCATTAATCAAATATAAGTCAGACCTACAATGAAATTGAAATCCTAGTAAACATCTACTAAAATGCCTTTAACCAGAGCAAAACAGAGTAAGTGTTCAAGAAGATGGAAAGAACTCAGAAGGATTTGAAGAAGGTGAAACACCAAAACAAACAGCGCTGACTAGAATACAAACAGTATGATCACATAGATAAATATTCTAGCAGTTCATCCATGTTTGTGAAGCATGGATTTACTATATTACTCAACAATCCATAGGTATATGGCAAGACAAATGACTCTTACATATTTACACAAAAATGAGAAAAAATGTTTATTGCAACTTAATAGCCAAAATTTGAACCAATCCAAGGACTATCAATTGCAGAAGTCGAAAAGAAAATGTGATATAGCTGAAGAACAGAATGTTATTGGAGAAGGGCATGAACAGAATGAAATACTTATGTACTATAAAGAACAAAGACAGGTACTACAACATGGATGACCCTCAAAAACATTACATTGGGTAAAAAGAAGCCAGGAACAAAAAAAATGATATAGTATATGAATTTATACATATGAAACATTAAGTCAATCTATAGAGATCGAAAATATATTAGTGGTTCCATAGAGCTAAGGTAGAGGAGAAAGATGAATGACTGTTAATTACTTATTTGGCCTTGTTAATTTGCATTTTTTGTTTTGTTTTCCTTAAAAAAATCTAATATAGACTTTGTTACTACATGTGAAGCCATATATAAAGCTTAAATCAATCTTTGGAAACTCACAGTCCAGGTGACTTGGACATTCGTGGGGGTCAGGACCACGGGAGTGTGAAGACGAACAATGACATCCCCCAGTTCCTTCTGTACTTGTCTGTGATCCACTCCTTGCGCCGGTGGGCTGATATCTGCAGTAAGAGAAGACAACCACTCCCCATTTTAAAATTGAAGTTCATCTCTATAAAAACCAACATAATATTTTAGAGCTCACTACAGAGGAAAAATTAGAACTTTCCTTACAAAAAGTTTTGAGTTAAGGATAGGGATGAATGAATGTTCTAAAGGGGTGACTGATTATTAAGCACTAGGCACATAAATGGAAATTGTACATTGTAATTCCTGGATACAACCATTTAAAAAATAATAAAAAAAAATGAAAGGTTTAACACATTTCATATATATTTCCGCATATATGTATATGTGTGCATATACATATATTTGTATGTAAATATAAATAATCATAGTTTGAGAGACAGTATTTATCTTCATTAATATACACTAAAAAGCCTGTTTACAATCCCTCGTTTCCTTTCAAGTACAGAGATACATTGTCATGGAAGATCATTAAATTTTCTATTTAGAAAGACTAAGCTATCTGCATCAATGATAAATGATAGGCATTTAAATCCACCAAACTAGTATGTATATATGGTGACACATTAACGATCTCAACATGTCAGGCACATCTGAAAGTTTGTTTGAATTCCATATCATATCAACTGGTTGTGTTTTCCTATACTCTGACCTCTTTCAGGGCAAGAAGAAAATTGAGAAACTGAGGAGGTGATTTATGTCATCAAAGGCAAACAGGATAGGAACAGAAAATTACAAAACTGGAAAACTTAGACTACTGATAAAATGCTCCAAAGTAATAGATTTGGAAGAAGCTTCCAATATCTGAAAAAGATGTTGTACAGCTGCATTGGGGAAGGAAGGAGATATATTCTTTGTGAAGCAAAAAAAAAAAAAAAAGATGAATTGTAGGCGTTTAAGTCCATTATTTAATGGCATTTCATACATCATCAAACTGACTGTTTTTTAAGCTGGTATGTTTCAAGGTTATAGTGATTATTTTCTGCAAACCACTTAATTTAAGGAATGAAGTTTAACTTAACATGATTTACTTTCTTAATCTGTCCTCTTATTTTTCTCTTGTCAAAATGCAACATTCTTGCAAAAGAATTTTTAAGTTCCTATGGTAATTCACTATGGTACAATAACTTTAATTAGAACATAAAAATTGGGAGCATACTTTAGAGGTATATTTTTCATTTCAAGGTTGATATAAACAGCAAAGTAAATTATTGGTTGATTGAGAAAAAATTGTTCCATTATATGAAAGATATTCATCTTTGTTGATAGGTATATAATCTACTATGATGTTGATGTATAGCTATTTGCTATTCTTAATGAAATAAAGAATTTCTAGATTCTATGGTATTCACTACCTTTGAAAATAAGAGCTAATAAAACAAAGTGTACTTTGGAAATGAAAATGATGTTGACGTTTAGACTGAATGCATGAGCCTTTCCTATTAGGTATCTGTAAGAGAACATGTCTTTTGCTTTGTATAGTCTCTCAAGTGGAACAAGCCAGTTCACAAGCAGTTTTTCATTAATCTCTTTTTGACCTTTTCACTGGGAGTTATTTTATGAGTTGAGATTTAGTGACTGTAGTTATTGAATGATCAGGGCAAGCTGTCTTACCAACTCTATCTTACCTTACAGCCATGTACAAAAACTAACACAGCCACATAGGTAAAAATAATCTAGGCACTATAATTTCTTGATTTCAAATTGTATACCTCTTCTATGTCACATTTAATAATTTAATTTATTCACTAAATTCAGAGACACTAAAAGCATTTGGATCTAAAATATAAGGCTTTCCAAGTCTTTGTTGTGTTTTTGTTTGTTTGTTTTGTTGTGTTTTCCTCTCTCTGGAGACAGGATCTTCACTTACAGGTCTTTTATCATCATGGAAAATTAATCACATTACTTCTTCAAGAACAATAACCATGTGGAATTGCTTTGTCTCTAGACTGTCATCATGTTAGCAACATTACAGTCATGTGGTGATTTTATTTCATTTGTTTCCTTAAAGCCTCCATTCTCTATTAAAATGGCAATGGTAGTTACTACCACTGAACTACACTGTAATTATAGTAAGATTTTTATGGTTATACAGTGCTTTTCTAACACAGAATACTACTTTGAATTATATCTTGTTTAACATCTTAGCAAAGAAACAATCCTTTCTCAAGAACTCTGCAGCAATTAAGTTGTATGAACAACAAAGGTTCCATTTTCTATTGAATTGATTCCCCTCACCTAGTACTAGGAAGATAAACTATACTGAAACAGCCTACTTTAAATCTCAGCCCTCAGTAACTTCTCAGTAAGAGGAGACAGGTTATTAAAAATGGGATGGGGAAGTTTTCCATTCTGAAGTTAACTATATTTTAATGTTATGGGGAATTTTATCTTAGTCAAAAGCATTCACTGACTCAGGAAGAAACTGAATTTACTGTTTCCTGAAAGAGGTTAGTTACTCCTTCAAACAGCTGATTAAATAAAAGCTAGTACTGGTAATTCTTAAACTTGACCACCTGGAGGGTATACAAGCATATACACGGGGCTCTGGCTGAGGATCTATTCACTTGGACCCTAGAAATCTGAGTTCTTGTTTTCAGGGACATAGACATTCATTTCACTTTGAGCTGCACTGCACAATAAAAGTAGGCTTTGTGAAGGTCATACTTTTGTCTATCCATTACAGAACTGCTTTTTGCTTTTGTATAACCCACACAAAGAAGAATAAACATTTTAACACCATTGTAAATACAATGAAGTTCTAACAGTTAATTTGTTTTTAGTATTCAGGTGCTTCCAAATATTGTGCCTTCTTTTAATTGCATAAACCAAGCAACATCCAGCAGGAGGACACAGTTTAACAAGATGAACAGCAAACATTCTTCCCCATCACTGAATAAAGTCCTGTGAATCAGCACAGAAAAATCAAGGTACATTGCTTTCGAAACATCTGTTCTAAAATGAATGTCTGGTGCTCTAGGACCAGTTAGGTTTAGAGATAGTGATATTACCTTGCGTGCGCACAGGATCTGACATTGGGCTTGGGTCACTGAGACCTTGGGAGTTGATTGCTCTGACCATGAACAAATAGATGGTATTGGGCCGTAGTCCTCTCACAGTATATAAGGTAGTCTTTACATGGTTGGCCACTGTCTGCCAGCTGTTGCTCACTGATTGGCTGAAACATGAAGAGAGAGTTCATTTAGCGACCCATCATGAAACTGTTGGAAATGGAATTGGGTATCAATGACAAAAGATAATGGCTGAAAAATAAACACAGATGCACACACACAGCACTTGAAGTGTTCAGCCCAATAAATGAAACGTTTGAATGATTTCAGTTGATTCAACAACAAAGCCGAGCCCACCTAACAGAAGTGCCATGCACAACAAAATTAAACTCAGCACAGGAGATGTGACAGCCCTTTGCTAAATGCACAGCAGCCACTAAATGAATACCTGTAAAAGGAACAGAGGCCAAGATCACAACATCAAATTTATACAATAAATATGGTCCTCATAAATGCATACATATATATATATACCTTGAAAAGAATTAACCTGCAGAAAGAATAAATGGGCTACAGAGAAAATTATGCCAATACATTTTCCTGTTACAAGGTGTGTTTTCTTTTGTATCAACTCCACATGCAATATTATAACAGAGCCTTCTAAAACTACATATCTGTAAAAGAAGAAAGGAAGCATGTAATGAATAATTTCCCTTGCTTACAGTTTTAATAAAATTTACATTGCACAGTACTGTGATTTCTCATCTCAAAATGGCAAAATGCTGCTGAATTCACATGTGGGGATCCCTGTACAGCCAGTTACAGATGAATGACATTTTATAAGACTTGATCTAAGGGCAAATACTATTTTTGCTGAGAATGCGGAGAAAAATGTGGATTTTTAAGGCTGTCAACTTGAAGGGACATCCTGAAGCATGGAAACATAAAAATACTTTAATATACTATAATACACAAATGCCACAGCTGGAAAACTATGTTTCTATCATTACCATAAATACAGATTAGAATGGTATAAAATCAAACTGCTCATTTTATTATTATGCACAAAAGACAGTGGTTGTACTTCAGACTTGATATCAGCCACGTAGAAGCACAATCAAACTTTGTGTGAAAATATTAAAAATATTTTACAATTTTTCTATATTTAAGTCAAATAAAGCAACTGTAACATCTAAATCTTTAAATTGATGACAACTGTGGAAATAAATTTTCCTTTCATCTGCTAGAGTATATGAAATTGGTTTCTAAACTGTGTTTTTCAGTTTTATTGCAGAAATAAAAATAAATAACTGTATTTATGCATATAGTATAAAATAATGTAATCATTTAAAGTTCTGATCTAATAATTAAGGATATATATTCCAAAGTTTCATGCTTCAATAACCATTGAATAGTTTAAAAAAATCTGTGCAGTATTTTAAAAAAATCTGTGCTTAGTTACTGTATTTTCTGTCTAGTTTTCTAAAGCCCATATTCTTAGTTAAATGCACACAATTGCTAAAAAGGCACAGAAATAAACTACTATGTCATGGACTAGATTCTATACACCTGGCATGCATAATTCATAATCTTATAATTAAGTTACAAATGAAAAAGTAAAAACTGCTCCCGAATGAGGTTAGCTATAAAGAATAAATTCTTTAAGATATATAGGTAAAACTTGACCTTAACATAAGCAGGCAAGCTTAGGTGACATTTAGGAAGTAGAACTAAAGCAAAAATCCCAGAATAGAAAATAAGCAATTTTCTCATACCTGAAAGCCTCAATGATATATGCACTTGCAGGAAGAGCTCCGGGGGTACCTGCTTGCCACGCCAAGGTGACACTGTTCTTAGTCACATCTGTGACTTGTGGTTTAGATGGTGGACCTGGCAGGTCATTTAAATCATAACTTCTACTGATTGTTGCTCCAGATTCTATAGAGGATAGACAGAAAAAACTTAATTGCATAAGCCAACAGTGATGTTTCAAAGAAGAAAGACCCAATACATAAAGTTCCACAAAAGCAACAACTAGTACAACAATGAAAAACTGCCAGTGAGCTGATCATTTCTAGTTTGCGATTGTAATACCAATTCCTTGGGGAGGAGAAACAAGAGGATCATGATTTGAGGCCAGCATGAGCATGTGACAGTGACACATTAAGTCAAAAACAAGTACATATCTCAAAAACAAGTTAATTTTGGTGTCACACATGTTATGTTCCCAACTACTCAAATGGCAGGGATAAAGGAATTTGAGGTTTGAGACCAGCCCAGGCAAAAATAACCAAGGAACCTATCAGCAAACTAACTAGGGTTGTGACCAATAGTAAGACCACTTGCATATCAAGCCCAGAACCCTCAGCTCAATCCTCAGATCCACAAAAGTAAATAAGTACATACATACATAGATGCATACATACATATATATAAATATGTACATATGTATATACACATACAGTGGCTTTGAATGTGAAGACTAAGATTAAAGCTCAATAACTAAACTTTGATCTCATCTTAAGTTGTTATTTAGTAATAAGTTATGTGTTTAGTATTTTGGCTGAAAAGAAAGATAAGTAAAAAAAATAAATCTCACCTGTCACATCCAACACTGCACTCCAGGAGGTTTCTCCACTTGAACTTGTAGCCACACAAGTGTAAGTGCCAGTATCAGAAATCTGACATGAAGAGGAGAGGATTTGACATTCACCACTAATTGTACATTGATTGATTACTCAGTATTTACCAAATGATTTAATCTCTTTTAAAATGAGCTGCATCATTTGTCCATATCATATGTTAGTCAGTCATATGTATGTGCACAAAAATATTAAAATAAATTCAGATTTTTGTTATAATGCTCAGATTTAAAAATTACATTTTTTCTTTTTATTTTGTGTTGGTACTAGGGCTTGATCTCAGGGCCTCATGCACTTGCTTAACTCTTTTCTTAACACCTGACCCACATCTCAACTTCTGGCTTTTAGATGGTTAATTGGAGATAACAGTCTCATGGGCTTTTCTGCTCAAGCTGGCTTTGAACCTTGATCCTCAGATCTCAGCCTCCTTAGTAACTAGGATTATAGGAATGTGGGACTAGCACCCAGCTTTAAAAAATTCTATTTTTACAACTAAATGTTGTTTTTAGAAATAAATTATATGTATGTTTCATTTTTGTTCTGTGATAACACTCAAGTCTTAACAATTATAGGGCAAGGCTTAAATGTGTCAGAGTCAGATATAGACAGAAAAGGAATTATTCAGATTCCTATATGCTTGAAGAACATCAGAAATGCAAAGCAATCATCTCAAATAAACTGAATTTCAATAGACAAAAATGTACCCAAGACAAAATAAGGAAATAATAAAAGGGTGCATTTTTTCAGACATGGAGAAAAATGCAGAATAGTTAATTCTAAGAAATGAAAAAGTATATGTAGAACAGCAGTAAAAAGTAAATTATCGTTAAAAAACAAACAAATGGCTATATGCCAATTGACCATGCTTGTAATTTTAGCTATTCAGGAGGCTGAGAACTGAAGGATCATGAATCAAACACAACCAAAACAAAATTATTTGAGACTCTATCTTCTATGGACTAGCAAAAAGTTTGGCTGGAGGTTTAACCCAACTGTTAGGTCACCAGTTATACTTAAGTAAGCTGAATGACCCAAAGCCTTGACTTCAAGCCCTGACAAGTCAAAAAATCCCTATCACTTGTCAGCTTTGAACATACATTTTGTTTCTATCTTTACCTATTTTCACTCTTCTTATCATTGCAATCATACCATGCAATCCTTCCTTTTCTATCAAAGAAACAAACAAAACAAACATGACTATGAAGTTAATTTAAACTAGATCTGAAAGGGACATAAAGGAAATCTAATATATAATTCTTTTTAAAGCACATTTAAAAATGTCATTTCAATCTGGGTGGCAGAGACTCATGCCTGTAATCCTAGTTACTAAGAGGCTGACATCTGAGTATGGTTTGAAGCCAGTTCAGTCAGAAAGGTCCCTAACACTCCTGTCTTTAATTAACCACGAGAAAGTTGGAAGTGAAGCTATGGCTCACATGTTAGAGCAGCAGCCTTGAGCAAAAACACTCAGGGATAGTGATAAAGATGGGTCTGGTTGTTAGTGAATTCTGGGAGTTTGTGGAATATTGTATCAGGTTTAAAATGAATGCATCCTGAAGAGTGAAGCTTTCAAAACTGCTTCTTGGATCAATAATTAGTGCATGGTTATGACTGTCATCCCACCATTTTAATTAATTTTAAATGTCATTATGTATATTAACTTAAGTTTCAACTGCTCTGGCATGTCCTTTTGCTAGGTTAAGATTGTCTTCCATCATACAGAGGCATAATGGGAATCTCCATGGTGGAATGTCCTCTTTTCAAATGTGGCTGCGAGCACATGAGAGTCATTAGATATCTTTGCATTATAGAAGCCTCACTCACAACCTAAATATAATGAGCAGAGGTTGGTCTTTGATGGGATGTTCATTTGAATAAGGACTGTGAAAGAGTAAAAAAAAATTAAATTTTATTATCGCTGTTGAACTAAAATGTTGCACTTGTTATTCCATACCAGTGCTAAAAGAGGAGTGTGTAGGTAATACTTCTTAACTGCATCTCCTTGTCACTGTGAGAAGAACCAGCCTGACATTAGCTGTGGTAGGTAGGTTTTAATGAGTGCTGGAATATTTTACTTCTCAAAAGATACAGATTTGGTTACCAATTAGCTGGACTATGAGAACACAATATTCATCATGCATTTTTTTCTCTTGCATTAAATACTGAAAGAAAATATGAGATAAAAAGGCACATGACCTACCACAAACCTCTTGCAACAAGACTATAAATCCATTTTAAAGTCACTTATCTTGAAGAAAAAGAACACTCTGCTAACATTGGGAACTGACAAATGTAATTCCAAATAACTAGATAGCATTGCTGAATCTCACTGTCCTGTCACCACCATCATCATCACCATGTTCTTCTTCATTACTTTAAATAATGTCTCTTCTGGTCAGAAAAACAGATCAGGGTGCTTGGACTCACTGTCCCCTCCTTCTCTCTTTGTGTACTTGACTGCAGAGCAGTTCTCAGATATAGGCATCTCAGAGAGGCTTCTCTGAAGCCTATCACAAAGCTCAACATTTGAGATGATCAGGAATCCACCTTTCATTATTGTTGCAAACACTGCAAGGGATCTCAATTACACAAGCACACCCTTTGACTGAGCAGTAGAATGAAAATGCACTAACCTCCATGGCCCAAAGTCAGTCATGGCTCAGAGAGAGAAAAGTTAAAGTGTTTGTACAAAGATAGTTTGCATAACTTTTTCTATAACTTCCACTTTTCTCAGAAAAACTTAGCCATTAATTTGCAATCAATAATAACACGGTCCATATTAATTTATTTTCTTAATTGAACTTGGTGGCAGTTTCCACTCAGAGTAATGATTATTAATTATTTTTAAATATAGATATTACTTAAATATATTGTTTCACAAAGAATCATCCTTCTCCATGGAGTATATATTTGTATGATAAGTCGATAAATAACTAGAAATACATTTAAATATATTTTCTGGAAAAGGGGAATACTCCATGTTAGAAGATATGTATATCAACATATTTTTATCTTCTTCTCTGGCTTCTGAGTGAAATGTAGAAACATTGCTTTGAATAAATCTTAGTTTCCAATGTCCACCTCACGGTCAGAATCTACTAACTGATTTACTGAAGTGTTTTTGAGCAGTTTTTCCTCATATATTATTGCATCAACTATCTCAGTTCTGACACTGATCATCAGTCTTGTGAATACTATATTTACTCTGTCCTTTAGTGTGGCGTTTGCTGCATCAAATAGGTGGGGGTAGATTTAATATGCCTGGATGCATAAGTAAAAGATATGGATAGAGAATAGGTAATTTACTTCCATATACAGCATCTATCTGGCTTTTATACCATGTGTAATCCTACACCTACTTAATAAAGTATAGATGGCAACTTTTGACTTGCTTCTTTCTGGGCCAATAGATTATCCAAGATTTTTTTTTGGGGGTCCGGTCATGGGGCCCTAACTCTGGGCCTGGGCGCTGTCCCTCAGCTCTTTAGCTCAAGGATAGGGCTCTAACACTTGAGTCACAGCGCCACTTCCGGCTTTTTCTTTTTGCTTATGTGGTGCTGAGGAATCGAACCCAGGGTCTCATGCATGCAAGGCAAGCTCTCTACCACTGAACCACCTTCCCAGCCCGATTATCCAAGATTTCTAGATATTTTATGAACTTTGAGGAAGTAAGCAGACCTATCAGAAGATCCACATTGTAAGGGACTAAAAGCAGCCATTAGCCAAGAGCAGGTAGGAAGCTGAGGTGGTAAAAGTCTATGCTAACAATAATCATGTTGCTTCTAAGAAATTCAATTTTCCGTCACTATGCAGATGAAAACACAGGCCACATTCATATATGCTCACAGCTTCCCCATGAGTCTCTAAATACCTCAGTGATTCATGATCAAGCTTTTAACTTTCAGAAACTGTTGTAGAGTACCATGCATTGCTCCTTAACTTTGTTTGTACTGCTGGATCATAACAGAAACTATTACACTAGTCAGAAGCAGGCATTTTATTTTGGGGTAACACTGAGGCAGATTACAACTTATTTGAATTTCCAGGAATTATTCCTGATCACATAAGTGTGAGTTAAAAGCTCATCAATGACTTATTTTCAGGTAAGAGATGAAATAGAAAATCCATAGAAATGATCCTAAGAGCTGAAATTTTCCTAGAACAAGCCAACCTTCTTTCTGTGAACTCAGTCTCACCCCTTCACAATTTCAATAAAATTCTTTGGCCAAACAAATATATCTATATAGTTCTACAATTTTTCTTTATCAGTGATAGTAAAGTCAGAATCAATTGTCACTTTCAAATAATTTTTAATATCCATTATTTTTATTACTTTTATGTGCTTCATATTTCTAGTTTCATTGATTGTATACACGCAAGACAAGAGACAGAAGATTTGAAAAATTTTAAGTCTGTTAGGAGTTTCTGAGTAACATAAAGACAATGCCTTTTTTTCTAATTTCAATTAATCACTTTTATAGTAAGAATATGAAATGTGTAGAAATTATGCTGAGATGTAATATTTTAAGTTCACCACACAGCTTTCCCTTATAGTAGTACTTATGTTAAGACAAAAGCCAAGTATTACCTACCCGTAAATTCTTAATCTGCAGTGTTCCTTGCTCTTGGATGGATGCTCTTGGATCTCTACCCAGAAAAGTAAATCCTTCCTTTAACCAACTAATTACAGGAAGAGGATCACCAGTGGCTTTACATTTCAGTAAGGCTGTACCATCGACTCCTAGAGACTGGTTTACTGGGCCTTGAAGGATTATAGGTGGAGGTCTATCTGTCAGAACTAAAAGATACACATATATTCATGTTACTTTAACTTCTATGTATAAAGTGGTATTGCAATACTGACAATAAAGTAATGTTCAATCTCCATAGCTATGTAGTATTATTTGTACCTTCCTTTGCATAATTAATAAAAATTGTATATTGCCTAGCTATACATACACACATGTGTGTATTATAAATAGTATAGTACACACATTTAATATAAATATATACATATACTCTACTAAGACCATATTATTATTGTTTATAACTTACTTTGAATGAACTGTAATTGAAACAACACTTGAATAAATTCTGATATTTTAGAAGAGCATTCTTTATCAGTATGCTTAATTATATTGAAATTAAAATGAAAATAGGAGTAGCCTAAAGCAGTCTTTTGTAAATGTTCATTTCATTACTCACATGCAGGTTTACGAAAGCCCATGAAATATATATCTTTGCTTTTCTTATAAACATATACTTGAGATATAAATATATACATATATCAGCTGACACATTTAACAATTTTTATTAGCAGATGTTAGTTGTAAGAAGAGGTTTTATTGTGACATATCCCTATATACATATGATGTATTTCCATCCAACAGACTCCTCTCTCCCTCTTCCTTGCCCTTTCCTTGCTTCATATGCAGCCTCTCCATTGGACTTTCCAGATCCTACGTTTATCTGCCCTTGAATAGACTTTCTTTTTACTCTATCTTTTTACCAGACATTAATTGCAAAAAGGAGTTTCACCAGGGTAATTCATAAATAACTAAATTATAACTTACTCATATATATTTGGACATTCCATCTTCAAATTACAGTCATTATTTACAATGATGTTATTTAATGGATATCCAAAGTAAGTTATTCAAGTAAATAATAATATGTGACTCCAGTTGAAATGAAAAAATCAGTTTTTCTGTGTATTTCAATTCCTGGATTCATTTTGGTAAATGTTTCCATAATTTTATGCATGTTTATTTCAGTGTGCTCTTATATGACATTCGGTGGCTCTACACTCTGTGGTTTCAGAAATATTTGAAAGTGATTTTAAAAGCACATCTTAACCCTTAATGGTTGATCGAAATGTGGAGATAAATGGAGGTATGGTTTTGCTTAGAACTCCTGAAAAGAAAGGGACATTGGAGTTGGTTCTCTCTCCCTCCTTCTCTCTCTCTCTTTCTCTCTCTCTCTCTCTCTCTCTCTCTTACATACACACACACACACACACACACACACACACACACACACACGCACACACACACATATGAAATTTTTTCTTAGCAACTGTGATGAGAAATACTTTCTTTTCTCAAAAAAGACCATCTTGCATTACTATGTACATACTTTATTTTTTATTTTCTACATTTTTATGTACCAACTTTTTTTGGGGGGTGGGGGTGGGGGTTCCAGTTGTGGAGCCTGAACTCTGGGCCTGGGTGCTGTCCCTCAGCTCTTCAGCTCAAGGCTAGCGCTCTACCACTTGAGCCACAGCACTGCTTCCGGCTTTTTTCTTTTTGCTTATGTAGTGCTAAGGAATCGAATCCAGGGTCTCATGCATGCAAGGCAAGCGCTCTACCACTGAGCCACCTTCCCAGCCCCTTTACCAACTTTTATAAATACCAGTTTATATGACTTTTTCCTAATCTTCTTATGTCATCTTTATGGCATTATTTCATAGATTTGGTTAAGAAGTCATTAAAATTATCAGACATTTAAGACTTTCCATGAGAAAACCAACCAATTACAATTTAATTTAGAGGGCACAATGTAAGTCTTCTGCACATCAAGAAACTGTGGATTCCAGTCAAACTATATAAAATCCTAAAAGCACAGTCAATTTCTTGTTACTCAAAAGCCCATATTAAATGTTATTTCATTATTTTACTTCAAAAGTAAAATTTGAATCTTAGAAGAATGCTGGAGTATAATATTACAATAATTTTGGCATGCATGACAATAATTGAACCAATATAAATTCAATTTGACATTTTTACCTATTCTCGTTTCCTTATTAGTCTAAATAAAAGGCCAAGTAGAATATATTATTAAGAAATTGTCAATTTGGGGAGAAAATAGCTCTTCATTACCAAAGTAAAATTTATCCAATTTAAGTATTGCTACTTCACTTCAAATTAAATACCTATATAGAATTCCAGTAACTTTTTATCATTTGCATTTATTGTCATATGTCTGAAGTCATTAGATGAATCTAAGGGTTTTTCTCTTCTTTTTTTTTCCTATCTAAATGAGTAGCTCATGGTCTTTTGAATGACATTGATCAATAAGGTAATTGAAAATCTCCTGGCCAGAAGGAATTTTCAGTTTCAAGGATGTTATGGGTGAAAGATGACCAGAGGTTTCCATGACATTAAGGCCAAAGGTTAAATGAACATTTAGGGTTTTCAGTGATCTGTGAACAACACCAGGTCTTCTTTAACTATGCATTATAAATCCTCAATAAACCTTTCATATGAGTATGCTGTGACATTTATTGTTAACAAAAGATACAGATACAGATCGTGTTCTGTTTGCTTCATCAATAGAATTTTCATTACAGTTTTACATACTCTGAGGAAAAGATGCAGCAGACAAAAAAAAAGAACACTGTTAAGGCGCTGAAGAAAATACATTCTAAAGGTGTATTTTGAGATATGTGCCTTGAAATGTCACTAGCATAAATATCATTAAACATAGCTCCTTTAATTTCCATGATCATTTTCACCTTATGTAAAAGTTTCAAGTAAAAATAGTCCTAGAAAATGAGTGTTAGGGCAAAAAAATCTAACAACAAAAACATTACTGTAAGCAGAATAGCATTTGTTTCTCAGATTATTACGCATATCTTTATTCTACAATTGATTTTCAATTATCTCAAAATTGCCTTAGAGCATAAGAAATGTATGTCCAAAATGAAGATTATATGGCTGACATACTGCTACATCATTAATTAAAAAATCATAACTATAAGTAAATGCTGAAGTCATAACCCAATATGTCAATTTACTAGTTAAAAATTATCATATAATTTGATGTGCACATGATGCCCACAGGTTTATTTTTACTGTTGAAATTCATACTATAACCTCCATTCAATGTTTCTGAGAAAGCATGTTTACTTTTCAATTATTTACTTAGGCAAAAATCTATGTAGAAATATACTAGTTACTATCCAAGTTATTGTAACAAAATGTTGAGGGCTATTTTAGTCTTCAGAAATCTCTTTTTTTTTAGGGGGGGGGTCCAGTCGTGGGGCCTGAACTCTGGGCCTGGGCATGTACCTCAACTCTTCAGCTCAAGGCTAGCGCTCTACCACTTGAGCCACAGTGCCACTTCCAGCTTTTTTCTTTTTGCTTATGTGGTGCTGAGGAATCCAATCCAGGGACTCAGGCATGCAAGGCAAGTGCTCTACCACTGAGCCACCTTCCCAGCCCGTCCTAAGAAATCTTAAACTTGGTCAGCTCTTTTAACTGTGTCCTGTAAAGGAATGCCAGAATAACTCCAAGATGTTATCAAATGTCATAACTTTAAAAAAAACAACAACTTTCCTCTTGCAGGAGGTGGGGGGGTTGAGGGGGGAAAGGCAGGAGGGGGGTGCCAGCAACGCCTGTAATCCTAACTTCTCAGAGCACAGGGACAACTCCCAGGCCCAGAGTTCAAGCCCCACTACCTACCAAAAACAAACAAACAAACAAAAAAACCCAAACTTTTCTCTTGATCTAATCACGCATGATTGTGACTATCCACCAGTCTCATGAAACTTTTGAATGACATGGAGATTTTTAATCTAATTTACCTATTTTGTTGTCTACATTATCTTATACATAATTATTTGTTAATAATTAATATAATTAAATAATATAATTAAACTATATTACCTGATACATTATGAATTTATAAGAAAGAGCTTAAGAGTACGGGGTGGATGGATAAGAAATAGTAATTGAGGGGCTGGGAAGGTGGCTCAGTGATAGAGCGCTTGCCTTGCATGCATGAGGTCCTGGGTTCGATTCCTCAGTACCACATAAGCAGAAAAAAAAAAAAGCCGGAAGTGGTGCTATGGCTCAAGTGGTAGCGTGCTAGCCTTGAGCTGAAGAGCTGAGGGACAACGCCCAGGCCCAGAGTTCAGACCCCACAACCGGACCAAAAAAAAAAGAAATAGTAATTGAGAAAATGAATATGATAAAGTATGTTATGTGAAAGTAGGGAAATATCACATTGTACAATTATTATGCACTAATGTAAAAACACATTTACGGTCTGGTTTCACGAAAGTTCTAAAAGAATTTAGATTATAGCCTACATCTTAAATACTATATTTGAAACATTTTATAGTAATTTGTAATAAAACTTAGTCCTTGGACCAAATAACTTACTGTCCAAGTATACATATCTAGACATTTTGCTCAGATAAAGTATGAGAATCTTAATACAGTTATTCATTATTTTTTATTCTGTTAAAGAAATACAAAGGAATAAATAAACACAAATCTTGCCCAAGAAAAGGGAAATTTCTCATTATTGTTACAACCAGTTGTATCTGCAGCCAATGTTTGTTTCTCTATTTGTATTCCTCACCCATTGCTGAATCAGGCCATGTTGTGTGCAGAAACTTGAAAATGCTGCTTTGCTATTCATTTTAAATACCGTCTTAACCTACATGAAAACTTGAATTGTATGAAAGATATTGAAATTTTACCAGTAAAGAAGGGAACCATAGAGAATATAAATCAGTGCTTTTGTATCTCAGAAGACAGCATGAAGGGGGGAAATAATAAAAACTTACAAGTAAGAAAAACAAAATGAAGAATTTTCATTTAAAACATCCAGTAAGAGGGAATAAATCCATGTTCAGAGATTCATAAGATATATAAATCCCTCTAGTTATCAACTGTGCAAAAAACACTGCTAGAAAAAATTATCCTTTTCAGATTTTACTAAATATGTATCTCTGTTATGATTCAAAGTATATATGCACAAGTAAAGAAGTGATCATTTAACTATTCATCAGTACTTACAAAGCTACTTAATGTAACTTAGTAAATGTATAGTTACAGAATTAGGCATGTCACAATGTGATTAGCTAACCACAAATTCATCTGTTTTACTAATAATGTTAAAGATGATAGTGCTTTCTCCTCAGGTAAAATAAAATTATTGGTATTTGCAAGAAGCAGTCATATATAGCTTGAAATTAAATAAAACTGGATAGATTGCACTTGTAATCACAGCAAGTACCATGTCAGCTTCTTTAAAATAATATCCTATGATATATTGAAAATAAAAATTTCAACCCATTGTAACAATGAGATGTACAAGACACTATATTGAAAATGAATTTTACAACTTTGGGTGGGGAAAGAGAAGTTGGGAAGGTAGGGAGGGGAGGGATAGTAGGGGAAAAACAAAGGAGGGGGTAACAATTCTCAATAGGAAATACACTCATTATCTTACTCATGTAACTGTAACCCCTTTGTACAGTAGCTTTACAATAAAAATATTTTTAAAAAGCATAAAAAATGACAAAAAAGAAAATGAAAATTTCCTTTTAATGCTCTTTTAAAAAAAACCATATTGGTAAATTTTTAATGGTATTGGTAAATATTGGAAAGATAAGTATTGGTATTCCAATATTTAAATCAGAGGCAATGAGAAATTACTAAAAGTTTTACTTTACCTAGAGTCAAATACAAATGACAAACGTGAACTTAAATGATTAAACAAATTAAAACTTCCACATGTGTATATCTTGAAATTAAAAAAAATCATTTTTCATGAGACAATCAGAAATGAAAGTATCTCACCATCAGTAACCTCCAGTTGAGCTTTTGCTAAAATGCTCCCAGCCACAGTTAGGGCCTGACAGATGTAGTACCCCGCGTCCGAGCGCTGGATGTTGGTAATGGTGAGATCTCCTGTTGGCGACACCGAACATCTACTATTGGGCTGCTGGGGCTGGTTTGGAAAAAGTAGGTTCTGTGGAGACAAACACAACTTCGTCAAGATTCTTTTCCCACGTGGAAGGAAAAATCACGATAACAACAGTCATTAAAATTACAGGAGTATGGTTGGAAAAATAAAACATACAGATTAAAAAATATATAGTAATTAAATGATTGTAGGTTACATAGTGGGCTTGACTGGGAAAATGTTTCCAGATTGTAGTTTGGACTTTACCAGGTCAGCACGATTAGCTTAAGGAAGGATCCTCTGTGTTTTGTTTTTATTTTTATTTTTTGTTTTTAATCCTGAATCTTTTTTAATTTTAATTTTTTGATTACTTTAAAATACTCATAGATTTTCTTTGAGAGCTCTGTAAATTTCCATCCCTTTATCCAGTATATATTGATCAAATCAGGGTGATTAATCTTTATTTCAGCCATTTAGTCCCTGACTTTCTTCTACTTAATATCATTGAAACATTATTTTCAATCTATAAAACAAGTAGGATAATCTTCACATAACTTGACTCCTAAGACACTGAGGCTCTAATCTGCAGAGTAACTGTATATGTGATTAATAATCTGTACACTAATAAAAAATAAAATATAATTGCTGCTTGATTATGTTTAATACTATTGGGACAACTGAATGTACCCTAAAGTCATTAAAAAACACACCTCTCAGACTGACACAGACAAATCTTCTGTTATAAGGTTGAACAAATCACAGCAGCTTCCAAAAGAGCTATGACCAGTCCATGCAAGGTTAAGCCAGTCTTTGAAAACCAAAATATGGTATGGAAGTGCTCTGAATGTGTGTATGTTACCCCCAAGAACATAATAGTATTATTTTATTTTCAAAATAAAATTTAATATTTTATACATCTCATTAAAGCCCACCATAGATCTTCTACAGCCTGATCACAAAATTTAAAGTTCTTCTGTAACAGCAGTAACATTTATTTGAAAGACCTATGTTGCTTTGCTGTTGTTCAATTAAGCAAAGCACTTGGGTATCATAAATCATATTGAGATATGTGTCCAAGTTGGATTATAAATAAGGACATATCAATTTTTATGTTGTATTTACTTACAAAAAAGAACATGATAACCCTCTGGGATCGGTTTCTCGATATAGTAATTAATTTTCCAGGTTTGTAATTAAACAGTTTCAATAAGTTACAATCAGAAGGTAATAACATTCAATTAAAGGCACAAGACACATTTTCACCTTAAAATGTTTTTTACCCTTGAAGTAATACCAATGGAAGAGGATAAAATAGGGTATTAGCACTTTTCAATTACACTAAATGACTTTAATCCTGCAAATGATGTCTTACTTTAATTAGAAGCTCTTCTCTTTATTGCGACATGATGGATGTCCACTTTATTAGATTCAAGTGTGACACTATAAGCCCACTTTACATAAACATTACCATGTTATTAAACTCCTTCTAAAAGGAGAATTGTTTGTTGCTAACATGTCAGGAATGTAATTCAAAATGCTATCACCTTCCACTCAAATTTGTATTCCTCAATATGGCTAGAAATTTTCATAAATATGAAAGATAATTTGATAACAAAATAAACCTCCTGTGTAATCCAAATATATTGCAGAAATAAACCATCTAAAAGAGAAGAGGCTACGTTTTAAAGCCCCTTAAAAGTGATACTATTTCTCCAACTGTGCACTTTCCCGCAATTAGCCATTAGAAAACCAATTTACATAGCACTAATCCATCAGATGGTCTAATTCCCTCTGGATGTCTTCCTCCATAGTGGAATATCAGTCCACCTTCTAAATGATTCGTTGACATGGAGAATGACATTTGATTGAGCTTAACAGATCATTTTTATTCCTTGCTTGTATGACACAGGCAAAAGAAGATGAGTTATAAGCAAAAGGCAGGAGCTCTTCAGAGTTGTTCTTGTATTGAAATGCCAGGATATCCTATTAGTACTAATTGGCATTATCAGCACATATTGAAGAAGATGGACCATTAAGCCCAACATCAACCTTTTCTACTGATGGATAGTCACATTTGTCCATAAAAATTGGATACTAGGGACAGCGAGACTAATTTATTTTCCTTAATATCCCAATTCATGATTTCAAAGTTTACAACTGGCTTAAGCATTTCTTTTTGCTTTAAATTTCTCTCTGTCTAGTCTGTCTGTATCTCTATCTCTTTCTCTGATAGGTGGGAGGTGATTAGAAAAAATAAGACTAGATCTAATATTATAAGCATATCAACACACCTAACCAGATATTTTGTGTACCCCCCTAGAATTAATGTCCATGAAATTACCTTGCACTTTGACAAACAGAAGAAATAAGAATGCTTAAATTGTTTTGGTAATTATCTTTTCTGAAACATTAAAATTTGTGTTAAACACTGTATATTTATTGGATGAGAGGGTGATACACATTTTATCAAGCATAAAGCTTTTTGTTAGGGGATATATTTTCATATGAAATCATTTTCTTATATACATAATAAAGAAGACATTACAAGGGATATGACTCAAAACATAAATCTGAAATTAAATTCTCAGGAGTCAAATTTCTTTATATCATTATATTTACTGATAGCAAATAATGACATTTTGTATGACTTTTGTAATGTATAATAAAGTTTCACATATGTACTAGCTTATTCATATCATATTCATATCTTAGGAAAATAAAATGTTTATCCTTATTAGAGGTGGGGATTGTCTAGTCCTTGGGTCATATAAAGGCTATTGAAATCATTTGCTACACACCAGATAAATATGTTTGCTTCTCAAATGGTTCTTGTCAGCTGCCTAGAGCCTGTCTGTCTATGATTTTTGTTAAATGACCCACGAGTGATTTCTAAGTTAAATAATCCTCCAAAATATTGTCATTCAAAGGGAAAAATGGCTTTGAATTTCCAGCTTTTTAGAATATGAGTATGTGCATTTAACTATTTCATATTTCTTTATATTCACGTTAATGTTTGGGAGAATTTCATCTAAAAGAAAAATTTAAGAGTCAAGGAACTAAGAATAGAAATCTAAAAGTACTGAATGATAGAAAGAATGTAACTTTTACAGTTGACCACAAACAATTTGGATGTAAGTTGGGGCCTTCACTTTAACATACCTTCCCCTCCCTGACTATATATTTCACAATGTGAATCAAAAGTAAGGAAGGCCATTTGTCCAGCCCAACTGAGTCACGGAAATGGCTAGCTATGTCAAGGTACTGAAACAGCATGTTTGAAGAGAAATTCTAAAAAGTTCTCTAGTCAGATAGACATATACAAATTTTGGACAAGTTCTCTTAATATACCTTAAAATTTGCTTCTCCTGGAAAACTTTTCAAGATTCCTGAGCCTTTTAGTACCTAATTTTTCCCTAAGTATTAGTAACTGGTTTTTCCCTAAGGAATCCATTCAGAACTTGGATTAACAACCATGGTGAGAAAGAGTAAAGTCTCCCTTTGAGAACTGTATGTTCTTAGGGATGGTCCTAAGATTCTAGAATCAGTATGCACCTGGTTCCCTCAGGAAATACACAGTTTAATTTCAGGCAAGGTCTCAATTTTTATTAAGTTTAGGCTGGAAATTTCACTCACTGCCTGTTAGCCTAGAGGCTAAGCACTTGCTCAAATCTGGATCAAGTTCTATATGACAAAATTATTATCCAATCTGAGTTTTGGGGTAGATTATGAGAGAGCATCTGGTCAGAAAGAACATAACAAAAACAAGGCAGGTATTGGTTTGTTATAGTATGTAATACATTATTTATCAAAATGAGACAATGAAAATATTTCTTCTATTTTAAAATGGAAACAAAGTGACTTACAAAGTGACTTTACAAAGTCACTTATACTGTGTAAAACAACAGACAAAAATTATGTTTTACTCCAAGTAATAGTATAAATATTTTTTGACAAGTTCTCTTGAATCAGAGACCATTTTAAGGATTTTATAGATATTAACTTATTTAATCATTCCATCTAACTCAGTGCAAGAACGAAAAATTCTTTGCCTTCAAAAACAGCAAATACCTATGACTTTTAAATATTACTTTGTTATACTGTTTCATTTCTATTGCTATGATGCAGAATGTTTAAAAACTTACGGTGGCACACAAAGGAGGCTGTAAATATCTGATTTCCAAAAAATAGCATGTATCTTTGCTAGAAATAAAATAAATTCAATATTTATAGCAACAGAAACAAGGCAAGTTATGAGGGTCATCAGAGACTGGGGAAGTTCAGGTATGTCAGAAAAGCAGTCAAGCCTCACACTCACCTGGCTGCCTTCTTTCTGCCAAAAAACAGCTGGCTGTGGGTTTCCTTTAGTTTCACAGGGAAATGTCACTGTTCGACCTTGAGCAACAATCTGATCTCTTGGCCTAACCACAAACTGTGGAGGAGCTATAATTTAAAAAGAGAGATAATATGTAAATATCAACCACTGACAACAAAAAGAGAAGTCCACAAGTCCACTAGTAGGTGGTTTGCTTGGTGTCAGAGAGTGACTGTAATTTTGTACTTACTTTTATCTATATCTTAAAACACAAAAAGAAAGGAGCAAGAACCCTCTATTATGTGTGAGGAAAGAAGTAAAATGATTAACAGGCACACTTTAAGCATTGAATATTATAAGCCTGTGCTGTATATAGTTACATAGGAAAATAGCTTTCTTAAAACTCTAACATTTTTAAGGAAAAAAATAATGTCCTGATTTGCTTCTGCTTCTTTTTTTAACAGAAAAAAACAGAAAACAATCACAAAATCCAATATTTCCTTCCTCTAAAATTAATCTATTTGCAAATATAAATTTTTTTCTTACAATATGTACAAAACATTGTTTCACGTACAAGAATAATAGAAGGCAACAAATATGATCCCTACTTTTACAATGAGAATGAAGAGGTGAAGAGTTAAAGACCCTAAAGATTGGGCTTGGAAGGCAGCTCAGTGATAAAGTGCTTGTCTTGCATGCATGAGGCCGTGGGTTCGATTCCTCAGCACCACATAAGCAAAAAAGAAAAAAAACCAGAAGTGGCGCTGTGGCTTAAGTGGTAGAGCACTAGCCTTGAGCTGAAGAGCTGAGGGACAGCGCCCAGGCCCAGAGTTCAGGCCCCACAACCGTACCAAACAATAAAAACAAACAAACAAAAAACACCCTAAAGATTAATTTCGAAGTATTTATAATGTGGAAATTCAATATAAAGGTAATTATCAATATAAATAAATGTATTAAAATAATTCAGTTAACTTGGTTAACTTTGTTTAGCTAAGTAAGCAATAACTAGGGGAAATAATTACTATTTTTTCCTCCTAGATATTCAAGATAGAGATGAAAACCTCTGCGAGTCATCAAGAAGTTCACATATAATAAAAAGTAACACAATATGATGACAAGGATAACAAGAGAACCAAGACTATACCAACAATTACCTGTCATATGGTAAGTGCAATATCAGAGGTATACTCAGACCACTCAAGTTACAGACCATATGCTAAGTATGAGAAGACTTAGGGGAGAATGAACCCCTTGTGTTGTAGGAGCAGTGAAAGGGTTGTGTAGAAATTGGACATTAAGGGAGCTCTTGGGAAAAATCAACATTTGATCGATAAGAGGAACTGGATCACATCCCAGGTTGGATGTCCACTGAGTAACATCAAAGGAACAAGAACGTATCTAGCATGACAATGTGTAGTCTGAAGCCAATGAAGGATCTATATTATACAAACATTAGGGCAACAAAGGAAGGCTAGTAAGTCATTCTAAGGATTTTATTCTGACCTTTTCTATGCTGAGGAATGATAGATGCAAAGCAAACATTTTGGAAAGACTTAACCCTCTAATGAATATTGCATAGATGGGGTTAGCTGTGTTCAGTCAGTAAAGTCAGAAGTTGCTTTTGAATAATAGGAAAATAGAGTTGGTGAAGATAATGAGATCAAGACATGAGGAAATCTAGTGAAAAGAAAAAGACAAAAGAGAAGAGAGAAGAAAAAGGAAAAAGAAATGAAAAGAACAAAAAGATGTAAAAATCCTGCAAAGCTTCAGATTTACAATGGAGCCAAATTATAGAGATGAGAAAATGAACATTAGGAGAGTGTTACTGCAGTTTTTCATAAGGACATCTTCATTTCAAACTCACTTCCATTTAAGGGAAAACATTATGTTTCTCGCATAACTTTCCCAATCATCTGTTTCTAATTTTAATACTTGTTTATCCTAGAAAATGAAGGCCAAGAAAACAGCTCAAAACCAACTTTAATTTGTAGAACCTAGTGTACATGGAAACAATCCCAAAATTTGAACTCTGAAGAAGTAACAACACGCAATATCCAGTGAAAGCCTTCACCTGGAATTTCTTTAGTCTTATACAGTATATTCCTAAAGATCCTAAAATGGAGTAAATGCATAGTAGCCCCAATTATTATTTATACTATCAAAAATGCCCTCGATAAAAATGAATCACTAAAACTCACATTGAGGGGCTGGGAGGTGGCTCAGTGGTAGAGCGCTTGCTTTGCATGCAAGGCCCTGGGTTCGATTCCTCAGCACCACATAAGCAAAAAGAAAAAAGCCGGAAGTGGCGCTGTGACTCAAGTGGTAGAGCGCTAGCCTTGAGATGAAGAGCTGAGGGATAGCACCTAGGCCCAGAGTTCAGGCCCCACAACCAGACCCAACAAGAAAAAATAAGAATAAAATTCACATTGATTTTTTTTTTTTTTTGGTTAGTCGTGGGGCTTGAACTCTGGGCCTGGGCGCTGTCCCTCAGCTCTTCAGCTCAAGGCGAGCGCTCTACCGCTTGAGCTACAGCGGCACTTCCTACATTGATATTTTTTGTTTGTTCTGTTATATTGCCTTTTAATTCAATATATCTAACATGTATCTCAGGGACACAAACAGTAAATCCACTAAATGAATTTTTTTTTCCATCACTGTAGATAATAAAAAACTCATTCTAACAGTGTACAGAATCTAGACCTATAAATCTGTCTAAACAGAGTGTGGGTTTTTGTTTCCCTGCCTTTTTTAGGAGATTCCACGATTCTTATAACCTTTTATGTATTACTACACAATTGTACTAGATGAGTAGATACATTAATTTTGTTCTCTATTTCCTAATAGAAACGATAGCTTAAACAATATTACATAAACATTTTAGGGAAAAAAAATCTTAAAATCTATCAGGGGACAAGAATCTGGTATGCAAATTGATATAGAGACTGTTAATTTATGCTAAAAAGAGGAGTTGATTTTTTTTTAATTCAAAGCTACCAAAATCTGTTCAAGGATTTTTTTTCAAGAAAAGTATAATCAAATTTTTGTTTCAGAAGAATGCTCTGGAAGCAACAGGGATGAAAATGGGCAAGGTTGAAGGCAAAGGGGTGTAAAACCTGAGCAAAGTTGAGCTGTGAACTGCGATGTATAGCAAGAAAGAATTTCATTAGAAATCTTAAATAATAAAGATATATCACAATATCACAACATAATATTGATATACTTAAAAAAGTCCAGGAAATTGTAATTTCTTGGATGTTTATGCAGTCTTACATTTTTAATGGCCAGTCACAAAAATGCATCAGCATTCATGATATTCATTTTTAAAAGTTCCTTTCTTTTAAGAAGAAGCTAAGTGAAATGAACCCCAATGATCAGGACACAAGTGGTTTTTTCTTTCTTGCTATTGTTTCTAATGTATTTATAAGGTACCATCTGATTCTTTTGTTGCTCTGTATGTCCCTCCCCCATGGTATAACCCATGTTTTCACTGTATTTGATGTTGGTATAATTTGGGGAGCAGAAGGGAATAAACAAATTGTTTAAATAGAGATAGAGGTTGGCCCATTGCATCAATGAGATATACAAGATGCTATATCAAAAAAAGAACTTTACAATTTAGGAGGTGGGAGGGTGTAATTGTGGAGATGGGAGGGAAGGGATGGTAGGAGAAAAATGAGGTGGCAACAATGCTTGATAAGAAATGTACTCATTACCTTGTTCATGTGATTGTAACCCCTCTGCACAGTATTTTCACTATAAAAAACTTATTTTCAAAAAGTACCTTTCTTTGTGATAGTTACTTACATTGTGCCTTTATTCTAAATAAGTATAATTACTCTATATTTCTACTGCATATTCTTATTACCAGAACTTAAGCCTGTTGTATCTCAGTGTAACTGAAATTATCTTCATATTTTTTAAAATTGAAAGACAGAAAATGGGGCTGGGAGAGACTAACACTGTTGAAGCACTTGATGAAGCAAAATATTCAAAGAACACCCAAATCTCCAAAAAAGTCTGTTATAAGGTTAACTGAATTCAGTCCCACAAAACAAATTGCAACAATCATTTTTGCTTTAGTAGACAATCATTCCCTGGACAAGATCTATATTGCAATCTTCTGCAAAGGAAGATCAGTTGGAGGAATGTATTTGGAGGATTTAAAAATAAAAAATAGCACCAATATTTCTTCTGATAGCACTCTATAGTTTTCAATATTTCTGTCAGGCAACAGTGAAAACTGTTTGAGCAGACAGCCTTTGGCTGATGGTTTCAATGGGAAAGAGCAGAGAGATGTGGTATTTTATCAACACAGCACAAGGGCACACAGAGAGCTATGCATACAACTGATTTCCTATGATGTCTTTTGTTAAATACATACATACATACACACACACACAAAACACAAGTAGGTTCTTAAGATGACAATTCAAAACACACGTTTAAACCCAATAGGAACTAAAGAGATTGAAATATACGTTCCAGATGAATATTCTAGTTATAGAAGTAGCATTTCCTCTATATATACTTGTAAGAGAGAAAACTGTAAAGTACCTATTTATCTCCTCTCTAAAACCTGAAAACAGTAGATAAAAGTTCTTGTCACTCATAGGTAATAACCTACTTGCTTAATCTGTCAAGTGTTTATACCTTATTGCTTCAGCTGTAAGAAGAAATGAGATAAAACAAACAAGGAGGCACAATTTGGTGTTTAATCAACACTTACAAGTTAAAATACAATATCTCTGTAAGAAAGGTACACTGCATGATTTCCAGAGAAGTAGACCCGAATATAAAAAGGTCAATTAAGATTAGAGGTCTAGGATAGTTCTCTTGAAACTGTGTTTTGAGAATATAAATACAACACACAGCAAATTAGATTTGATTTCTGCTAAATTATGCTTTGATACTGCATTCAACCCAAGCTGGCTTCAATCAAAGTCACGCTACAGCTCTGTTATGCTAATGGCTGCTGGGGAACATGAGTGGGTAATATGGAAATCAGATGGCAGAACAAGAGGAGGAAGCAGAGGCCATGAGAGAGGTGGGCTTTGACAGAGGGGAGGAGGGAACCTTAAAGGTTAATCACATCATGTTCAAGTTGTTTCTACAGCAAAATATGACT